GTCTGTGACTGTGTGTGTGTGACTGTCTGCCTGTGATTGTCTGTGTGACTGTGTGTGTGATAGTCTGCCTGTGTGTGTGTGACTGTCTGCCTGTGATTGTCTGTGTGACTCTGTGTGTGTGATTGTCTGCCTGTGTGTGACTGTCTGACTGTGATTGTGGGTGTGTGAGTGACTGTCTGTGACTGTGTGTGTGTGTGTGTGTGACTGTCTGACTGTGATTGTGTGTGTGTGTGACTGTCTGCCTCTGTGTGTGTGTGTGTGACTGTCTGTGATTGTGTTGTGTGTATGTGTGACTGTCAGCCTGTGATTGTGTGTGTCACTGTGTGTGTGTGACTGTCTGCCTGTGTGTGTGACTGTCTGCATGTGATTGTGGGTGTGTGTGTGAGTGACTGTGACTGTTTGTGTGTGTGTGACTGTCTGTGAATCTGTGTGTATGTGTGACTGTCTGCCGGTGTGATTGCCTGCGTGTTTGACTGTCTGCCTGTAACTGTGTGTGAGTGACTGTGTGTGGGACTGTGTGCATCTGACAGTCTGACGGTCTTCTCCCTGCAGTGAGCCGGCAGCCAGGATATGATGTCATTGCGGCCTCGGCATCATTACAGGACGTGCGATGGACCTGTGCAGGAAAAGAGATCCCAGCACCAACCACTGACCACCAGGGACTGAGGATCCACTCCAGCCCTTCTAGAGCAAGGTATGGAGGCTGGGTGGACCTCTTAATTATTAAATGTGTGTATGTATGTAATGTTTGTGTGTGTATGTGATTGTGTGTCTGTGATTGTATGTGTGTCAGTGATTGTGTTTGTGTATATCTGTGATTATGTGTGTGATTGTGTGTATCTCTGTTTATGTGTTTAGTAGATAGCTCCCTTATTTGGTGTCCTTAAATTTTGCAATCCCACATAAGGATAACAAATAAGGAATTTATCTACTAAACAACTGAAACTAAGAAAAGGGCTTTTTTAATCTTGGCTTTTCATTCCCTGAATTGGTGCCCGAATGCGAGATTTCCATATTTAAAGATACCAAATGAGGGTGCTGTTTAGCAGATATCTCTCTTATTTGGTGTCCTTAAATATATGGCAATCCCACATAAGGATAGCAAATAGAGGAGTTATCTGCTAAACAAAGATCGAAATTAAGAGGTGTCAGCCAGCCCACAACAAGGAATCTCGGTGGCTAATGTGAATGGCAGCATATTAACCCATCCTCTACTGAAAAGTTTTACCCCCCATATATATTGTTCCTAGAGTCGCCACGATGTCTGCATGTGTGTCACTGTGTATCTATGTGTGACTGTGTTTGTGTGTATATGTATCTGCATGTGTGTATGTCCGTGTATGTGTATATGTGCAGACATCTCAAAATCTCGCCAGCATTACACACAAATACACTCATGCATTTCAACACTACATGCAAACCCCACCATTACATATAACCATACCACTACATTCAACCATACCACTACATTCAACCACTACATCACCCTTAATTAGGGGGGACACCATAACCCTGCAAGTGTAATTATTGCAGTTTTTATAAACGGCAATAATTACCTTGCAGGGTTAAGTCCTCCCCTATCACACATTCCCGTTCTTAAAACCCGAAAAGTGCATGAGGACCTCCCGCGTCACCAGAATCCCCATAGGAAAGCATTGAATAATGCTTTTGTATGGGCAGGTCTAATGCGTGCACCCATTGCTGCACATGCACATTAGGACTCCCCTGTCGGCTGACGTCGGCGGGGGAAGAGCGTCAGCGGAGCCTGACCCCGCGCCAAGGGACATCGGCGCAGGATTTAGGTAAGTCACTGAAGGGGTTTTAACCCCTTCAGCAACATGGGCTGGGGGCTGGGAGGGAAAGGGGCACTGCAGGAACCTGCAGTGCTAGGAAAACAGATATGTTTTCCTGGCACTGGAGAGTCCCTTTAAAGGAACACTATAGTCACCTAAATTACTTTAGCTAAATAAAGCAGTTTTAGTGTATAGATCATTCCCCTGCAATTTCACTGCTCAATTCACTGTCATTTAGGATTTAAATCACTTTGTTTCTGTTTATGCAGCCCTAGCCACACCTCCCCTGGCTATCATTGACAGAGCCTGCATGAAAAAAAAACTGGTTTCACTTTCAAACAGAGGTAATTTACCTTAAATAATTGTATCTCAATCTCTAAATTGAAGTTTAATCACATACAGGAGGCTCTTGCAGGGTCTAGCAAGCTATTAACATAGCAGGGGATAAAAAAAATCTTAATTAAACAGAACTTGCAATAAAGAAAGCCTAAATAGGGCTCTCTTTACAGGAAGTGTTTATGGAAGGCTGTGCAAGTCACATGCAGGGAGGTGTGACTAGGGTTCATAAACAAAGGGATTTAACTCCTAAATGGCAGAGGATTGAGCAGTGAGGCTGCAGGGGCATGTTCTATACACCAAAACTACTTCATTAAGCTAAAGTTGTTCAGGTGACTATAGTGTCCCTTTAAGGCAATGAAAAGCAATGCATCTCCAAACATTGTTGGTTAGGTTATGTTAGTTAAGTTTTGTGTGTGTGTTTTTTTTAAAAATAAATTTTTGTTTTGATTGTTTCTTTAATAATAGTTTTTTCTCCATAAACCCACCGCTTGTGCATCCACCCCCAGTCTTCAGCATTCCAGTAAATCAAATTAATTATCAATTTTTTTTGCTTTCTATAGAAAATGCTACGGTCTTCATGAGACTTCAATTATAAATGATGCTACTTGTGCCCAGCATACATTACCAGTGCAAATCGTTTTATCCATTTAAAAAAAAAAAAATTATTTTCGTTTAGTAGAAAGAGGACGATTGAACTACAGCTTCCATAAATTAGTATCACCCTAAGGTACACATTAACAACAAATTTAAATATGTGAGTTCCCATGCTTATATCTTTATATTTTGACTGATGTGTAATGGTTTGACTGATGTGTAATAGTAATTTCTACGGAATGTATTTGGCCTCATAATGTACCTTCTTTTGGACTGAGTTTGAACCATATGCACTAATTATGGGAAGCATTGCACAAGACTTGTAAGTTGGGTGGCTGATTGGCTGGCTTACATCTAAACTCATATTGATGTATCACGGAACAGGAAATGGACAGTAGATGTATTGTTGTGGAATGTCCATGGTGCAAAAAAGAAAGATGTGTGATGATTATTGGAGAACTACTAAATGTTAATTTTTTATTTTTTTCACAGAACAACTGAGAAGTGACCAACAGAGTGGAAAAAAAGGAGGAGCAGTAAATACAAATAAATCTATATTTACGTAATTACATATTTTCCACTCCACTAATAGATAATTATATATTTTGCATTGTACTATTAGGTGCTTTTTTTTGCTCCATTTTGCTTTCTGGCAATTGCTATTCTCAAACCGATTGATTAACAAAATTATAATGATTGATTTGGACCAATCAAATTTTTCTATTACAAGTCTATTACCTACCGTGCGTCACGGAGAATGAAAGCAGAATAGCCACAAAACTATCACACATTTTATGAAATTTAAAAATATCTGTCTGTAACTCATGTTAAAATATGTGTGGGTAAAACATTATATTGCACAATTTTTCACATACAAAATTGAGAAAAAAGTTTCAAATTCTTTATCTGTAAAGCATATTCTGCAGTGAATGAAAAGCAATGGATACAAGTTATAAGAAAACATGCTTGTTATTGTGATCAATTTTCCTACAACTATATTTTTTTACCACACGCACTGAGAAGTGCATGCCGGATATACACTCTAAACATTATCTCCTTTCAAAATCAATAGATTTACTGGATAACTGCCTGTTTCTCGATTACTAGATCTGTTAGTGGCTTGTGATGAGTTGTTTATATTAATGGAACCATTGTATTTCAATTAAAGCAACATAAATATTAGATATTTCACATAGGATGCTAATGATAATAAGGACAGAGTTTCAGTAAAATCATTGCTGCCCGGAAATACTCCTTCATAAAAGCACTTTATTAAATGTTTGGTTTGGTATTGGTACTTATGTCATACCTTTTCCATAACTATGCAGTATTGTACTTTCCTGGCTAACCATGGCATCATATACACATGGGTTGGCTCCTCCCCTTACAGCCGATAGGACAAGAATAAAACAAATGCCTTTAAAAGGAGTATCCTTGCATAGCTCCCTCAGTCTTTTTCCTGTCCTACAGCCCTTAGGATGTGAGCATTTTTGCTCCCTTTACTCATGGACCTGTATGTTTTTTCTTTTCATTACATTATTGATTTTTGCTATTTTAGGGTGCCTTTATGTTGTAATGCCTTTACATTATGGTACTTTTACACTGTGATGTCTTTAAACTGTGGTGCATTATGCAGCTGTACTTTTACTGCCTTAAGCTGTGATGCCTTTTATACTGTGAGGCCTTTTAACTTTGGTAATTTATGCACCTTGTTGCCTTTTTATCACCTTGCAGGCACTTTTACTTTATGTCTTATGCTTCCCATTGGTCCCAGAGATTTATGCCCGGTTCCCTGGGTGTTCAGGGGTCATATATGCTGCAGACAGAGCTCTCTCCCCGGTCTCTAGACAGCAAATGCACTTGGAAGACGCCCGCGCATGTGCAGTTTGTGCCTCTGATACACAGGGGTTAATCCCGGATTATTATATTTATTATATGCATGGATTCTGTTGTAATTTGCATGGTTTGTTTAAACCAATTATGCTAATTGATCATGTTAACTTTTTTGAATTGATTTGAATTGATAGGGTGAGGGGGGTAGGTAGGGGTTAGTTTTTTTGGGGAGGGGGTTGACTAGGGGTTTCGGGGACCCCTAGTCACCTGGGGGAGGGGGAGGTTAATTTTTTATTTAGGGCCAGTCAGGGGTGGGGGCCAGGGGGGAGGATATTAGGTTCCCCCCCTTATTAATATTTAGGGCCCCCACCCACCGCTCAGGGGTGGGGGCCAAGGGGGAGGACGTTAGGCCCCCCATTCTAATTTATGGCCCCCACCCACCGCTAAGGGGTGGGGGCCAGGGGGTAGGACATTAGGTCCCCCTCTTATTAGTATTTAGGGCCCCCACCCACCGCTCAGGGGGGGCCAAGTTGGAAGACATTAGGTCCCCCCATTCTAATTTAGGGCCCCCACCCACCGCTAAGGGGTGGGGGCCAGGGGGGAGGACATTAGGACCCCCCTTATTAGTATTTAGGGCCCCCACCCGCCGCTCAGGGGTGGGGGACAGGGGGGAGGACATTAGGTCCCCCCCCTAACTGGTATTTAGGGCCCCTAACCACCGCTCAGGGGTGGGGGCCAGGAGGGAGGACATTAGGTCCCCCCTTATTCTGATTTAGGGCCGCCGCTCAGGGGTGGGGGCCGAGGGGAGGACAGGCTGCTCACTGTTTACTAGACATGCCCCTACTCGCGGTATAGCGAGTAAGGGCATAATTTACTAATACTAAGTAATCTTTACTTAGTATTAGTAAATTTGGCTGAAAGACCAATTTAGGTCTTTCAGCCTTTTAGTAGATAGCTTCCTAATACCGTGGGAATTAGGGAGTTATCTACTTATTCATTCCTGTCTTTACATTGACTGGCTAAGTAACTTACATTTTATATGAATGTGTGTTACTTGATTGTTGTAAGTGTTGCAAATGCTTACAGCTGAATCCTGGCGACGTTTGTATACTTTTTATTTAAAATTGTATACACTGTAACATTCTTCATTCTTCCACTGGGTAAGTATATTAGTTCTTAGGCAATACTGTACTTCGCAACTTCGACACTTCGGAAATTCGGCTATCTGGCAATTAATCTATTCGGACATTCGGAAGTACCCGAATGTCCAAATTTTCAGAAATTCGGGCGAATTCACATTCGGACCGAAATTAATTGCACATGTCTACTATATATACACTTATGTTGTTTTGTGGTGTTAGCTTGACAAAGTCCTCCTGTTAGGTCGAAACATTGCTGTCCTTTCTATTTCAATAAATCTGCCTGCGGCTGTAACATCCTGAGTGTCTGAAGATATGTTTTCTGTTTGCCTGGGAGATAATTGAGTCAAGGATTGTACTAAACTCACTTATCTCCAGACACAAAAAAACATACATTTCCACAAAATTTGATAAAATAGTATCTCTCACAAATTTACAAAAAGTGTTTCTGGTGTCCACATGCAATAACACTGTTTCTCCCAAAAAGTGATTATAGGGGAAAATATAAATATTAGCAACTTCCCTCAATAGCATAGGATATGCCCGAAGATCTCCTCCTATCTTCAGCTAGCTTCCCTAGCTGGAATAGCCCTATACTATACATGCATTTCAACAAAACCCAGAAATGACCTTAAAACCAATGGAAACCCCACAAAATGGAAACCCCACCATATCCCCTGATAGCCCTGATTTGGGGGACCAACATATCCAAAAATCACTCACATCGGTTTAGAGGTTCGGGATTTCCAGGGAGCTCATAATTTGACCGACTGCATATAAGATCCTATGCTCAAAAACAGTTCCACAGTTTCAGAGGTAGCAGTCGGTCTATTTCAGGAAGTCTAAAAACCGAACAAATTCACGAACTGTTCCCTTGGCTCATGGGTAGCATTTGTTCCCCTACTTCGTGGGAACAAAACTACCGAATAGCGCTGTCCTGGCTGGTTGGTGAAAAGATGCAGGCGTTCACGAAGTTGACCAGCGTTCGGGAAGTAGAGTGTCTGATTTTAGTTCCAGACACTCGATGAGCAGGTCCCGCCTCTTTTCGTGTGAACAAGATGGCCACCGTTTTATCCAACACGTGGCGTTCGGCCATGCGAACTGCGGCCACACAGGGAGAGCACTTAATATGCGGTTTTCTTTGTAGATAATGAGCCAGGGGGGTGGTCTGTGTTTGGTAGTTTTATATACTGAACGAGAAAAATCAAAGTTAACGAATAAGGTGTGTGGTTTCTTCACAGTGTTGAAGCCAATATGTGATCTACCACTGGTCTTACAGGCTTTGACTAAACAATCATTCAAACCTCTAGAAGGAGCTTCAATGATGTTAGCTGATGTTGGTACCTCAGCAAAGTGAATGTGTGAACTCCAGGCTTGATCCTGTGTACCCCCATTCACTGAATTTCAACAGGAAAGCTTATCAATGCCATTCTCTACCTGTACCAAGGAATTTCGGGGCACTCTCCACTCATGCAGTTGCAGCATTGTAGGCTTCCATAGTAATGGTCTCTGCTGAAACTTTGTAAAGTTGGCATTTTGACCCCTTTGAACTCGTTTGTCCAGCATTACATACTGGACAATAAAGCAATCAATGAGACGCAGTTTGGATGTCACGTCCTTAACTCAGTTCAATCTTCTAATCTAACTTGAATTGTTCTGATTATTTGATTGGCAGTTACGTATGTTTCTGTCCCTCCCTGGTAAGCTTGGGTATTTCCATATGTATATACAGCCATGATTAGCCAGGAAAGAGGAAAATGTATTCATACTTACCGTAATTTTCTTTTCCTGGCTATTATTCATGGCAGGATATACTACCCACCCAGTGTTGGTTTTACTTATTCTGTAGGAGCTTGTTACTGACTGAGGGACCTATACAGGGATACTCCCTTTAAAGACATTTGTTTTATTCCTGTCCTATCGGCTGTAAGGGGAGTAGCTAGCTAACCCATATGAGTAATAGCCAGGAAAAGAAAATTACGGTAAGTATGAATACATTTTCCTCAAAAATTGATACCAGCATTCCCATTCTTTTGGCTTTACGCAAACACATTCCTCCTACTTTTGCCTATACTTTTCCATTTTAGAGCTACTAATGTAGAAATTTGCATATCTTGACATGGCAAAATAGTTTTATAAAAATTGAAAAAAGGATTTCCACTTCTCTGAAAATTATATCACTGAATAAACGATTGAAAATCACCTATAAACTTTTTTTTATAAGGTATGCTTTCTTTTAAATGTATATCACATATTTAAAGGGTTACCCATATTTGTATTTATTTATTTAAAAAGCCTTAATAATCACTACAAATTAGCCACTTACCCTTCATTTTGGAGAAAAACCTGCAAATAAAGGATTTTTTACTCACCTGGACTCCACTGCCAGGGGAAGCTCCTGACTTTGTCTGTCAAGCCTCCACCCGATGTCACCAAACTGCCTTAGAGAATCCTGTAGTTAGGCTTTCCTGCCTGCTAAAAGTGAGAGAGCGAGAGAAAACTTTTTTTGGGGAGGGAGGGAAAACACTGTGGGCACCCAGACCACTTCAGCTCATCTGAGTGGTCTGGGTGCTGTGTCCCTTTTGCACTTAGTGCTGCAATGTAAAACATTGCCTTTCCAGAGAATTGCCATGTTTACATTGGAGCTCTAAGTCTGCCCTCAGTGGCTGTCTACCAGAAAGCCACTGGGGGCGCTTCCTGTATCAAAACCGACATTTGGTCCGTTATGTGACGCTGGACGTCCTCACGCTCTGCATTGAAAATTGCTTTCCTATGGGGAAATCCTAATGCGAGCGTGGCCGTTCCTGCGCATGCACATTAGGTCTCCCCGCCGACTGATGAGGAGTATGGGCGGAGCCTGACCCAGTGCCAAGATGTGACCGTGGCTCGACCAGTATCCTAAACGTGACGTTGCGGATCTCTTGTTTGACGGGTTCACGAAGGGTTTCTGGATTCCATCCGTGCTGTCGGACGAGGGTCTGTTTGCTGACAACCTGCGGTCCACTCGGGGAAAAGAGGGCTTGTTACGGGAAAATTTGGAGGCGGAGATTCAACGGGGCCACATGGCCGGCCCCTTTAACTCCCCCTCCTTCCACAATTTGAGGGTCTCTCCGTTGGGTTTGGTTCCCAAAAATAATCCAGGAGCTTTTATGTTAATTCACCATCTGTTGTACCCTGCGGGGGCGTCGGTAAACAACGACATTGACAAGGATGTGTGCAGGGTGCACTATGCTTCCTTTGACTCGGCATTGCTCCTTCTTCGGCGGGCCGGTCGGGGGGCGTTATTAGCAAAATCGGATATTAAGTCCGCCTTTCATTTGTTGTCGGTTCATCGGGCTGTTTCCACTTACTATGGTGTTTTGCTAACGGTTCTACTATTGATATGTGCATGCCCATGGGCTGCGCTATCTCTTGTTCTTATTTCAAACTGTTTTCCTCTTTTTTGGAGTGGGTCACGGCACGTGTGTCAGGTCTGGGTTCCTTGACTCATTACCTGGACGATTTTTTGTTCGTTAGTCCGTCGTGTTCTCAGGATTGCCTTTCTTTGCTGCAGGCCTTCCGATGCATAGCGTCGGATTTTGGAGTTCCAGTTTCGGAGCAAAAGACGGTTGGCCCAGTGTTGGTTCTGTCGTTTCTGGGTATCGAGATTGATACAGAGAGTATGGTTTTTCGGCTTCCGGTTGAGAAGTTGGCGGTGTTACTTCGTCTGGTTGACCTGGTCAAGGGTTCCAAGAAGGTTCAGTTTCGCCAAATGGAGTGCCTACTGGGCCACTTGGTTTTCGCATGTCGGGTATTACCGATGGGTCGGGCATTTTGTCGCAGATTGTCATTGTCCACGGTGAGGGTGAGGATCCTTCCATTACATTCGGATCACGAGGCGCCTTTGGGCGGATCTGGCAGTGTGGAGCTCCTTCCTACGCCGTTACAATGGGCACTCGTGCTGGTTGAGGGAGGCCACCTCCAATTCCGCGTTAGACCTCTTTACGGATGCCTCAGGGTCCATTGGTTTGGGGGCATATTTTCGGGGCCAGTGGTGCGTGGGGGCGTGGCCTGAGGAATGGCGGTCCTCCCCGATGGGACTTTTCTGGAGCTGTTCCCAATCGTGGTCATACTGGAACTATGGGGTGAGGACTTCAGAAATCACACTGTGGTCTTTCACACGGACAACATGAGTGTCGTCCATGTGATTGCCCGGTCGTCCTGCTCATCTCCACCGGTTTTGGCGCTTCTCCGGCGGCTCGTGCTACTTAGTCTGCAGTTTAACGTTTGGGTGCGGGCGCGTCATGTCCCGGGTGTGCAAAATGTGGTGGCTGACGCCTTGTCTCGATTGCAGTGGGAGCGGTTTCGCAAGGCAGCGCCAGAGGTGCGGGGGATCGGTGTGACTTGTCCGGACTCCTTATGGATGCTCGATTTCGAGGCCTGATGGGCTTGGTGACGGATTCGTTGGCGGAGTCTTACTGGAAGACTCCTCGTTGGAGGACAGTGTGGAGACAATGGTTGTCGTCAGCATGGGACGGAGACGTATCAGCGGAAGCCGAGCGTCTGGAGGCGACTCTGTCGATGTTGGATGACATGGTCAAGTGAGGTAGGTCTTGCGCGGTGGCAGAAAAGGCGCTGGCTGCTCTGTTCTTTCTGTTTTGTTTCATGGATTGGCAAGTGATAAAGGGGTGGCGTCTGCGGCGGTGCCCTGATCGTCGTCGCCCGATCTCGCAGTTTTGCCGACAGTCTGTAATTCAGAGTTTGAGTCCAAATTATTTCGTTTGGCCTTCTCGTTCTGTTTCTTTGGAGCTTTTCGCATCGGCGAGCTGGTTGCTCCTAGTAGGCGGAGGGCCTCGCCGTTGGCGTTGTCTGATGTGCGGTGGTCTACTTCTACCATTGACATTCTTGTTTGGCGGTCTAAGACGGACCAAGTGGCCCGTGGAGCCTGGGTTTATTTAGGGGCCACTGGGGACGAAGTATGTCCGGTTGGGGCCTTTCACAAATTTCTGAGGGTGCGCCCGGAGCGGGGGGGCCCATTGCTAGCTCACTTGGATGGGTCGCCTCTCACGCGGTATCAGTTCTAAGCCATGCTGCGGAGATCGTCGGCCGCTGGGGGGATGGATGGTCAAGGATTTTCGGCACATTCCTTTCGGATCGGGGCTGCCACTCAGACGAGTTTATTGGGCTACTCGGCAGCAGGCATTTGGCGCATTGGTAGGTGGGAGTCGAGGCGTTTTAAGTCTTATGTCCGTTCTCATATGCTGTAATCCTCTTCTCGTTGTAGGTGGTCGGCCCCGGTACATGTGGATTATAGGGCATTCCTACGTGTACTGGGCTGCTCGGCGAGCAGAGGAACGGTCCTATGGATGGAATTTGGGGTTCTCATTTGACTTGGCCCGGGTCCGGTGGAAGGGCATTAGGGGTCTTCGCTGGCATCAAGTATACCCAGAATTCGTGGCGCTGCGGAAGTTTGTCTCGGGGCCAGTGGTGGCGGTGGTTCATGCGGGAGGGAATGACTTAGGGGAAGCCAGGACTGTGGACCTTCTCCACGCGATTCGGCACGACCTGGCGAGGTGCATGGCTATATTTCCGGACATGACCTTGGTTTGATCAGAGGTGGTCTCCAGGCCGTGCTGGCACGTGGTGCCGTACTCACGCGGATTGGAGAAGAGCCGGCACAAGCTTAATATTGCAGTAGGAAAATTCGTACGTCGGATGGGTGGGGTAGTCGTCCGACATGTGGAGCTTGAAGGTGATAACCGGGATCTGATTAGGAAGGACAGGGTACATTTGAATGTCATCGGGTTGGATATCCTTAATACGGGTTTACAGAGTGGGAATGAGGCTGCACTGTCGGCGGGGGGGTGCAATGACGACAGGAGGCCTGAGGGAAAGGCATCATTGCGATGGCGGGAGTCCTGGCCAGCACAGGCAGAAGTGAAGAAGTGCAGAGGAGGCTTGGGGAGTCGCAGCCTGCTGGGAGCTGATGGCGGAGGCAGGCTGCTCTGGACTCATGGTTTGTTGGGATAGACCTGTCTGTTGGGTAATCACCCCAACAGCTGACAGTATGGTTTTTGCTGGCATGTAAAATTAATAAAGCTGTGGCCGTTTCCCTTACCCAACTTAATATGGTCTCTTGTGTGTCATTGGGGGGGCAACGGGTTGGTTGGGTACATTACATCTAGACAGCAGTCATGCTGGTTGTGCTGTGCAGCGCGACCAGCATTAGGGGAGAGCTCTGAGCACTTCCTCACAGCTGTCACCCTGGCCATGTGCGAGCTGTGTCGGCAGCATGGTGCCCCCTACTGGCATGGCGCCCTGTGCAGCCGCACAGCTCGCACACCCCATCCCTGAACTACAATGCCCATGATTCTATGAATGAAATAGGCTGAGAATCATGGGAGCTGTAGTTCAGCAACACCTGGAGGGCCAGAGTTTGGGGAAGCCTGCTTTAAAACTTTAGCTCAATTAGGTGCTTTTGATGTATAGATTATGCCCCATACAGTCCCATGGCTCAATTATTTGCTTTGTTTATGCAGCCCTAGCCACACCTCTGCATGTAACCTACACAGTCTCCTAACACACTTCCTGTGCAGAGAGATTTTTAAACTTATTGCACTGTGTGTTTTATTTAGAATTTCGTATACCCTGCTTTATTAACAGTCTGCTAGAGATAACTTCTAAAGTAAACATACTGTACTGTAAGAGCTGATTGAAAATAAAACCACTGTTCATAGAGACTGTGTGAGTTACAGCCAGGGTATGTATGGCTGTTACTGCTGCTGCATAAAAAGAAACAAGGAACAGAACAAATTTTAAAAGTGCCAGCGCAAAAAAAGAAATAAAACTTAAGTGGAATAACCAATCACTGTCGCTAAACATCAACATTGTGCCTACTCTATCAAAAGCATCACATTAAAAATAGATATTTAAATAATATGGTGCTGTGTCTCTTAAAAAATTGGAGTCCGAATTCGACAAAGGGCACTGCGATTGGACATGCATAGCTTTTTATATGTATATGTTCACATTTTGCATTAGTAATTCACCAACTGAGGAAGCCAAAATTGGGGAGAACGTGTTTGGGTGCGTTCATTTTCTATGATTAAATATTTTCTATTAATATTTTCTATGATTAAATATTTCTATTTCTATATTTCAAATTTTTTTTTTATTACAAATTTACTTGTCTAGCAGTATCCTTTTGGCTTTTTGAGGTTGTGCCTGAGGATTACACAACAACTGTGTGCTCGTAATGTATAGCCCTTAAACTGGCTCAATATAATGTGAGTATGCCATTGTATATACACCTTTTTGGTTTTATTTGGAGCAGTCTAAACTATTCTTTATTGCCGACTGCTGAGTTTCTTTGTCTGGGTGAAGGGTTTTCTTTAAAGTACAGCTTCCATAGTGGCTGCTGGGTAGCCTTAAAGAACCCATAAGCTCAGGACTGGTTTCTTTATTTGATAGTATATGATTAGGATTCACTATATATTTATCACTGTAATGTCAAGGTTAAACTATATCTTGTTCTTATTTTTTCCATTTGTGAATGACTAAGGATTAAATAAAAATCCCTGTTTCATGGGACGCTGCACCGTATCATTTAAGTACAATAGAAACAACATGGCAGAGAATTGAGCATTCAATCTGCAGGGGCCTGATGTATATGTGACAAAACATACATTGATAACAGACAACAACATTACATACAGTGAATTTCAATTATATACACTAGTTAATTAGATGAACTATTTAAGAATAAACTCTACATTTGTAAGTATGGTGGCTAAATATCCCAATAGGCTTGTCCTGCTAATCCGACACGATTATCCAAAATATAATTTTCTACTTGTTAGCAGTAATGGCTTGATGAGCAAGGTTTATTGTTTGTCTGTCTAAGAGTAGTGATGTCGCGAACACGAAATTTTCGGTTTGCGAACGGCGAACGTGAACTTCCGCAAATGTTCGCGAACTGGCGAACCGGGCGAACCGCCATAGACTTCAATGGGCAGGCGAATTTTAAAACACACAGGGACTCTTTCTGGCCACAATAGTGATGGAAAAGTTGTTTCAAGGGGACTAACACCTGGACTGTGGCATGCCGGAGGGGGATCCATGGCAAAACTCCCATGGAAAATTACACAGTTGATACAGAGTCTGGTTTTAATCCATAAAGGGCAGAAATCACCTAACATTCCTAAATCACAATGAATATGGATTGACACCTGACATGACATATTGACACCTTGACATATGGATTGACACCTGTCCTCAGAGCCCCTGATGCACACGGACACAGAGCAGAATAGGGACTGTTCCCCCTACATAGGGTCACTTGGCAGATATGGATTGACACCTATCCTAAGGATCCCTGATACACACTGACAAAGAGCAGAATAGAGACTGTTCCCCTACATAGGGTCACTTGGCAGGTATGGATTGACACCTGTCCTCAGAGACCATGATACACACTGACACAGAGCAGAATAGAGACTGTTCCCCCTACATAGGGTCACTTGGCAGATATGGATTGACACCTGTCCTAAGGATCCCTGATACACACTGACACAGAGCAGAATAGGGACTGTTCCTCCCACATAGGGTCACTTGGCAGATATGGATTGACACCTGTCCTAAGGATCCCTGATACACACTGACACAGAGCAGAATAGGGACTGTTCCCCCTACATCGGGTCACTTGGCAGATATGGATTGACACCTGTCCTAAGGTTCCCTGATACACACTGACACAGAGCAGAATAGGGACTGGTCCCCCTACATAAGGTCACTTGGCAGATATGGATTGACACCTGTCCTCAGAGACCATGATACACACTGACACAGAGCAGAATAGGGACTGTTCCTCCTACATAGGTCACTTGGCAGATATGGATTGACACCTGTCCTCAGAGCCCCTGATACACACTGACACAGAGCAGAATAGGGACTGTTTCTCCTACATAGGGTCACTTGGCAGATATGGATTGACACCTGTCCTCAGAGACCATGATACACACTGACACAGAGCAGAATAGAGACTGTTCCCCTACATAGGGTCACTTGGCAGATATGGATTGACACTGTCCACAGGGACAAGCTGCAGGCTTCCTGGCAGGGCCCATACAAGGTGGTAGAGCAGGTTTGTGATACCACCTTTGTGATCGGTGCGGTCACAGGCACGGGAGGCAAGCGCATGCTCCATGTGAACATGCTCAAGCCATACCACGAGCGCACTGAAGAGGTAACCGCAATCTGTGCACCTGCCACTGAAGATTATGATAATTTGCCACTCCCAGATCTCCTAGACCTAGAGGGCCAGAGCGGAGACCTGGGAGAAGTACAGTTAGGAGAACGGTTAGACGCCCAGGAGCGAACCCAGGTCCAAAGACTAATCCAGGACCAGGGGGCCACATTTTCCAACCTACCTGGGTACAGTCCGTTAACAACTCACAAAGTTGAAACCCTAGACCAGACCCCCCTTCGCCAAACCGCCTATCGCATACCCAAAGCAGTTAAAGAAAATATTCAGAAAGAAATTGAGGAAATGATGCAGTTAGGGGTGATAGAACAGTACTAGTACTGGTACCGAAACGGGAAGGCACGACCCGTTTCTGTGTAGACTACCAGAGGCTAAACGATAAAACAACCTCAGATGCCTCGTCTATGCCCCGGATAGACGAGCTCCTAGACAAAATGGCCAGAGGCCAGTACCTCACCACAATAGATCTGTGCAAGGGGTACTGGCAAATTCCATTAGTCGAGGACGCCATCCACAAGTCGGCATTTGTCACCTCGTTTGGCCTGTATCAGTTTAAGGCCATGCCATTCGGGATGAAGAATGCCCTGGCTAACTTTCAGAGGATGGTAGATCGGCTACTGGATGGGTTTCAGGAGTATGCCTGCGCCTACTTGGATGATATAGCCATTTTTAGCTGCTCCTGGCCCTAACACCTGACCCACATAGGAGCCGTACTAGACCGGATTAGGGAGGCCGGACTGACCCTAAAGCCCAGTAAGTGCCATATAGGAACACGTAAAAACCTCCCCAAGATAGTAGCATGGGCCCCAGAGTGAACAGGCCTTCCAACAGCTCAAGACGGCGCTCATTAAATCACCTGTACTTTCTGCTCCTGATCCAACTAAACGCTTTCTCGTCCATACAGACGCTTCTATGTTTAGATTGGGAGCAGTACTGAGCCAAGTCGGAGCAGATGGCGGCGAGCAACCCGGGGCTTATCTAAGCCGGAAACTTTTGCCCAAGGAAGTAGATACACTGCCATTGAAAAGGAGTGCCTGGCGGTGGTGTGGGCCCTCAAAAAGCTGCAACCTTACTTGTATGGACAACCGTTTACCTTACTCACAGATCACAACAAATTTGGGGCACTGCGTGTGCAATCTAATGTGCCACCAGATAGGAGTGGTGTGTTAAGTAGTACTATTCTTATCAGTTTAATCCCTGTTACGTCCCCTATCCGCTGATGTGGAGCAAGACGCAGCAGCAGAAGAGGACTCAGCCGAGGAGGTTATGGAAGAGGATGGAGTAGGAAGAGTAGAGGAGGTGGCAGCAGGCCTGCCTGCAAGTCATGGCGGTGTCACTAACTCCTCTGCAGAGCCACGCATTCCATGCTTGGCAGCCGTCAGCAGGTTTGCCCAATGCGCAGTGTAGGTGATATACCTGCCCTGACCATGCTTTGCAGACCAGGTATCAGTGGTCAGATGGACCCTTGCCCCAACACCGTGTGCCAGACATGCCATTATTTCCTTTTGCACAATCGAGTACAGGTTGGGGATTGCCTTTTGTGAAAAGAAATTTCGTCCGGGTACCAGTGAGTGAGTGGTGGCACTGGGCACAGTATCCACTGTGAGCCTGACACACCCGCTTTGAGACAACTAACTGCTATTCAATCTATAACAGTGAAAAAAGTTTTTTGTTTTTAAATGCAAGCTATTATGACACCAGATATGAGTGGCACCGTGAACTGGCAGAGTACACGCTGTAGGGCTGACACACCCGCTTTGAGACAACTAACCGCTATTCAATCTATAACAGTGAAAAAAGATTTTTGGTTTTTAAATGCACGCTATTGTGACACCAGATATGAGTGGCACTGTAAACTGGCAGAGTACACGCTGTAGGGCTGACACACCCGCTTTGAGACAACTAACTGCTATTCAATCTATAACAGTGAAAAAAGATTTTTGGTTTTTAAATGCATGCTATTGTGACACCAGATATGAGTGGCACTGTAAACTGGAAGAGTACACGCTGTAGGGCTGACACACCCGCTTTGAGACAAATAACTGCTATTCAATCTATAACAGTGAAAGAAGTTTTTTGTTTTTAAATGCAAGCTATTGTGACACCAGTGAGTGAGTGGTGGCACTGGGCACAGTATCCACTGTGAGCCTGACACACCCGCTTTGAGACAACTAACTGCTATTCAATCTATAACAGTGAAAAAAGTTTTTGGGTTTTAAAAGCACGCTATAGAGACACCAGATATGAGTGGCAAAGTACACGGGCAGAGGTCTACAGAGCACACGCTGAAGGAGGCCTGACACCCGCTTTAAGGACACTGACTGCTATTAGCTTACACTGAAAAACTTTTTTCTTTGTAAAAGCACGCTATAGAGACACCAGATATGAGTGTCAAAGTACACGGGCAGAGGTCTGCAGAGCACATGCTGAAGGAGGCCTGACACCTGCTTTTTTTCTTTGTAAAAGCACGCTATAGAGACACCAGATATGAGTGGCAAAGTACACGTGCAGAGGTCTGCAGAGCACACGCTGAAGGAGGCCTGACACCCGCTTTAAGGACACTGACTGCTATTAGCTTACACTGAAAAACTTTTTTTCTTTGTAAAAGCACGCTATAGAGACACCAGATATGAGTGGCAAAGTACACGGGCAGAGGTCTGCAGAGCACACGCTGAAGGAGGCCTGACACCCAGACGCTTGCATACAACTAACTGCTATTCAATATATTACAGTGAAAAAAAATGTTTTTCTTTTTAAATGTCAAGCTTAAGCTATTGTGACACCAGATATGAGTCGTGGCACTGGGCAAATGGGCACAGTATCCACTGTGAGCCTGACACATCCGCTTTAAGGAACTGACTGCTATTCAATCTATAACAGTGAAAAAAGTTTTTTGTTTTTAAATGCAAGCTATTGACACCAGATATGAGTGGTGGCACTCAAATCAGTATCCACTGTGAGCCTGACACAGAAGCTGGCAGCAGTGGCAGACAACTAACTGCTATTCAATCTATAACAGTGAAAAAAGTTTTTGTTTTAAATGCAAGCTATTGTGACACCAGATATGAGTGGTGGCACTGACTGGCAAATGGGCACAGTATCCACTGTGAGCCTGACACAGAAGCTGGCAGCAGTGGCAGACAACTAACTGCTATTCAATCTATAACAGTGAAAAAAGTTTTTTGTTTTTAAATGCAAGCTATTGTGACACCAGATATGAGTGGTGGCACTGACTGGGCAAATGGGCACAGTATCCACTGTGAGCCTGACACAGAAGCTGGCAGCAGTGGCAGACAACTAACTGCTATTCAATCTATAACAGTGAAAAAAGTTTTTTGTTTTTAAATGCAAGCTATTGTGACACCAGTGAGTGAGTGGTGCCACTGGGCACAGTATCCACTGTGAGCCTGACACAGAAGCTGGCAGCAGTGGCAGACAACTAACTGCAATTACATTACACAGAAAAAAAAAGCAGACTGATGTTCTAGCCCTAAAAGGGCTTTTGGGGTGCTGTCCTTACAGCAGAGATCAGATGAGTCCTTCAGGACTGTAGTGGACACTGTATACCCTAACCTAGCTATGCATTTCCCTATCTAATCAACAGCAGCTACACTTTCCCTCCTCTCACTAAGCATGCAGCTTGAGAATGAATCTAAAATGGATGCTGTCCAGGAGGTGGGAGGGTCTGCTAGGGAGGGTGTGCTGCTAATTGGCTGGAATGTGTCTGCTGACTGTGAGGTACAGTGTCAAAGTTTACTCAATTATGACGAATAGGGGGCGGATCGAACTGCGCTATGTTCGCTGGCGAACCGTTCGGTGCATCACTATCTAAGAGGATTAAGATGGTTTTATTATTTTGCGAGTTAAAGTAACAATACTTCAGTTCTGTAGATTATATATATATATATTTCCAGGTCCCAGCACTCGATGTTCCCGGTCTTTTTGTGCTCCGGTGCACAATCCCCAACCAAAGTATATATACCTAGTAGAGAGCACTCTGGAGTCTTGATAAAGTAAATTCAAGTGATAAACACAATAGTCGACGTTTCAGTCTATGCAGACTTTTTTCAAGACAATTTACAATGTGATCTTGTGGCTGTTATATACATGAGAGTTTACAAGCTCACATTGTAAATTGTCTTGAAAAAAGTCTGCATAGACTGAAACGTCAACTCTTGTGTTTATCACTGTGTTTGCTTAATAAAGCAGCAGTTTGAATTTACTTTATCAAGACTCCAGAGTGCTCTCTACTAGGTATAGATATATATATTTGTTTTTAATAAATTTGCAAGGATTTCAAAAATGTGTTTTTTGCACTTTGCTGTAATCAAGGGCCTAATAGGAGAAAAATGTAATACTTATTTAACCCCTTAAGGACCAAACTTCTGGAATAAAAGGGAATCATGACATGTTACACATGTCATGTGTCCTTAAGGGGTTAAAAGTATCTATATCTGTTTACCTACTCCCTTTTGTTACTTTTGGCCAAGAGAGGGGGGACATAATTTACTCTCCGGCGGTTGTTCCTGTGAGCATTGGCATTACTGAGTGAGAGCATTGTCATGGTAACCCACTGCAATACTCTTTAACAGTAGTTCATGAGAGCAATGCATTTGGTCTGCACCAGGCAGATTTGTAGACCAGATCGCCAGCCTGTATGGACAAGCCAGGAATATCCTCCACAGTCAATCTTGGCTGGCCCATAGCCATTGTAGTCCACCAGCACTAGGCTGATCGCCAATCATGGCACGCTGTTGGAACTAAGCTGGAGGGGCCCATGCAGTTATGGCCAACAAATGGTCATGTCTGAACCTGTCAGACCGGCAGTGCTGGGAGGAAGTAAATTCAAGTCCTTCCTCACAGCTTACAGAGCACACATGTTGAAGAAGAAAAGAGGTTAGTGAAAGAAGTATGGAGAGAGAAAGAAGAGAGTGTGGACCAGACTCCTATCAGCCTCAGCCAGCAGACAGATTCCAATGGACCCTAGAGAAGCCACCCCTTTTGCAGCCAAAAAATATTGAAATTGGAGGGTGGCTTTATATATAGAAATTATGACTTGTATGTGTTAGTCACTGATGTATTTACCACGAGGCTAACAAGGCACTTGCCTTGGAAGGCATTCTCCAGGTGGCAGCAAAAATGCTGCCCCCAAATGCCCAGGCAAATGCCTTGTTAGCCTTGTTGTTTTGCAGGTGGGCGGCAAGGGAGCTGACCAGGAAGATCACTGCTCCCTCGCTGTTTACTTTGCGCACCCACCTGCCTTCCTACCTGCCCACAAGCCTGCCAGCCCACCCAGCAGCCCCACTGGACCCCAGGTAAATAATTCACCCACGTCTCCAAAAAGTAGGGAGCCTGGATTTAAATAATAAAAAAAAATATTTGTGAGTGTTGGGGAAAATGCGTGTGTGTGTTTGTTTGTCAGTGAGTGTGTGTGTGTCAGTGAATGTGTGTATATATCTTTCAGTGTGTCTGTGGGTGAGTCTGTCAGTGAATATATGTCTGTCAGTGTGTGTGTGTGTGTATCTGTCAGTGTGTCTGAGTGAGTGGGTGTGTGTGCCTGTCAGTGAATGTGTGTGTATGCCTGTCAGTGAGTGTCTGTGACTGTGTGTGTCTGTCAGTGAATGTGCATGTCTGTCAGTGAGTGTGTCTGTCAGTGCGTATGTGCGTCTGTCAGTGTGTGTCTGAAAGATTGTGTGTGTCTGTCAGATTATGTCAAATAGGGAGTGTGTGCTTGTCTGTGAGTGTGTGTTGCAGTGTGTGTCTGTCATTCAAAATGTGTAAGTCTTTAACAGGAAGAGGTGTGGCCTTGGCAGGAAGGAGTGTGGGGCAAATTTAAATTAGCGGGTGCCCAAGTTCCATCATCTCTAGGGCAGCACAGATCCAAAATACACCACTGGTGTCAATGTGTTTATGTGTGTGTGCCAATGTATGTAAGTGTCAGTGTGTGCATTTTTGTGTGTCTGTTGTGTGTGTCAGTGTTAATGTATATTTGTGTCAGTATGTATTCATACATCTCAACATTCAAACCCCAACACTACATACAAAAACACCTCTGCAATCAAACGCAAACATTACACACAAGTACACCACTGCTTTTAAATGGCAACAGTACATACAAATACAATCTCTATATTCACACACACATACTCAATACAAAACATGCTTACATTAAAACACACAAACACTGCTCACAAACCTGCATACATGGGCAAATGGCAGATTTCCAGCTGGCAAAGCATTGTGGGAGTTGCATGATAGATGAGGATCTACCTTTTGGCCACCTTTGCACTTGGCATATATATATATATATCCCTGAAAGGGTTAATTCTGTGACATAATACAACAATCTATTTGCGATATTATGTTTGTGAGCTGTTTAAATATTTCTCTGTTTTTAAAATGACTAGCTGATTCTATCTGTCTGTCTAGCTAATGATCAAGTGTTGGATTATAAACTGCATTTGATGTTCTGGCAATAGTTTCTTGCCTGCAGTTATTGATTATGCTCGGAAACAAATGCCTTTCACAAACAACGACATTGAGCACTGAATACTCTTAAAGGCTCTGAAATGGCTCTCATGCTTCTAAGTTTAGAATTTCATTACAGTCCTGAGTGATAGGATGTCTGTGGCATTGACTTCCCGAGCAACAAGCGTTAGTAACCAAAAAGCAAACATAACGTAGACATATTGCATGGGGGTAAGCCTTATCCTTTGTGGTTTTAATTAAATGACAGTACATGACTTCTTAAGCTTTGGTCACAGCTGATATGTCAACTCAACATGTCCTGTGGGTTTAACTTACAGATGCCAGTTTTCTTTTTTAAACTCGTCACACCCTGAAGAAGTTAACTCTTTAGATTCATAAAATAATAATAGAATAATGACTTGTTTTGCAGAATAGTAGTAATAATGACATGTTTTGCAGAATACAGACAGGATATATATATTTATATATATATATATATCTCAATAAATAATTTGCCATAACATGTAAACTCATTCTAAGGTAGATGTGATATTGCACTTTAAATCACATTCATGTGTCAAGAATATCCCTGTTTCAAGTTGGATAATGTAAGCTATTTGTGTTTATTTTCATACCGCACAGCTATTAGCAAAGATAGCGGTAGTTCTAGGAAATCCTCTGTTATGTATATACTGCTAGACACCAGGGCCTGAAATAACACACAGGGTTTTATTCCTTAAAGGAACACTATAAGGATACAAATGTGTATTCCTGACCTTTCAGTTGTAAAAACACAGTTTAGACCTACTTGCCACCCTTTAAAAAGGGTATTAAACTTACCTTTTTTCCAGTGCCGCACAGGACTTGTCGTAGCTAGCCATGCCTTGCTTCGCCTCCATGGCTGAGATTAGCTAATGTCTTGATCTCAGCCAATTCAATGCTTTCCAGAAGCTATTGTGCATGCGTGGCAAAACACCATGTATAGAAAAAAAGGGGATGATCTGCTAAACAAATAACAAGAACAGTGCATAGCGCATAACTGTGTGTATGAATAAACCAAATGTATAGTTTTCAAATGGCCACTCACACTTTCGTTGAAATAGAAATGCCTTGAAACTGAATAGCTCTTTTCAGCAAAATTGCTCTTTTCAGCATAAATGCCCTTCCAGGAATGATTCTTCCACCACTTTTAAACTCTCATGGAACAGTTAAAAGGTGTGTGCTCAAAGAAAAAAACAGAACTTGTAGTACATATTTAAAAATGTAGAAAAAATAATTTAATCACTTACATTTAAATATAAAACAATGGATGTATTCTCACTGTCACCACCAGGGGTCCTACGCGTTTCGTCCGTATGTAGGACTTCCTCAGGGACTTCAGTGACCAGAAATGACAGCATACAAATGAACAATAAACAACCCTTCCCTTCACCACCCTTTATACCTCCCCCAATGTCCACAAAACTCTTTATCCGAATCAGGTGCTTGAAATTTCAGTTCGACGGCCGATATCTATGACGTCATCCTCATGCGTCCGTCGGTTTCGCATGCGTTCCACCATGCGTTCCACTGCCGAAACCCGGAAGTGCTTTATGCCTTCTATGTATGAATCACGTATTTCTATTCCAAGTCCCTCTCATTAGAGGCAAATTTAATATACATGGATCGGAGGCAAGAAGAAAGGGGGGGGAATAGGGAAAAGGGAGGATTATACACTTCAAACAGTACTACAAGATTCCAAATATATATAACTAACACAGCCTCATTATACTTAATAACAATAAAACTGTATACACTGTATAATATATGTGTACATGAATCAAATTAAAATAAAGATATATAATAGTTAATAGACAAACTGACATAACAAAAAATAACAAAAATAAATACATAATATAAAAAAAGACTAAAAAATAAATAATAATAATGAAAAATATGAAAATAAAAAATGTAATATAAAAATAAAATAAAATAAAAAATAATAAAAACGAAAATAAAATAAAATGAAATAAAATAAAAATAAAGGAAAATAAATAAAAATGAGAATAAAAATAAAAATAAAAATAAAGCACACACACTTATAAGGTGGATAAAACGTGATATCCCAATTTATGTTGCATTTTTTCAAATATTCCAAAAGATATAAAGTATCCATACATTATTATTTTTCTCCTCTTTTTTCCTTTGATGAGATATTGAAAACATCCCAAAAAGGAGATTTATTAATTTTAACGTTATCATTGGATAAGATTAAGAAATTAAATTGAATTATAAAATATAGGATAGAATTCCATAAATATAAAAAATAGAATTCGATCCATCCCCTATCCTCTTTTTTCTTTTAGTGGAATGTCAAAGACATCCCACAAAGAGCAGTTGGTTGATTTTAAAGTTGTCCTTGGAATAAAATAAAATAGATTATATTAAAAAATTAAATAAAATTTGATGAATGGAAAAAAGTATACTTATAATTGAAATTTAATTGAATCCAAAAAACGTCAAATCTCAGAATGCAGATTAAAAATCTGTAAACATAAATCTGACGCAGTTGGAATCCAACAAATCCCAGTATATATAAATCTGATATAATAAGAATTCAATGAATTTCAGAATACATAAAAGGACAATTTGTCCGTCCCAAAACCCATTTAAATCTAATGATACAAAAATATTCTACTACTGGTACTCATGATGTGGAAAAATTATTTTACCACCTATACCATAAAAAATATATAGAAAAAATGCAACATTTACACTAGTGGTGCAAAAAGGTACCTACATCGTATTAATTTTCAAAAAAGCTCCATAGGTCTATATCCAAATTCAACCCATGTGGTTGCAACGTTTTTAATTTGTTTATCCAAAAAGTCTCCCTTTGCGAGAGCTTTTTCATTAAATTGCCCCCTCTCCAATAAGGGTCAACCCGCTCTATACCCATGTAGGAAAAATTATTCCAATTAAATTTTCTGCAACTAGTGCAATGAATCGGTACTATATGTTTTGTTGACTTTTTCTTAATATTATTTTGATGTTCCAAAATTCTCTCTTTCAATTTTCGACCCGTTCTTCCCACATACTGTTTCCCGCATGGGCACTGTAGCAGGTAGACCACATACCTAGAGTTACAATTTATATTAGATTTAACTTTAAATTTCTCTTTGGTAGTTGTACTTATAAATTCTTTTTTCTGTATATAAAAAAGATTCTAAACAGACATTGGGATATTTTGTGCAAAGACCCCATATTAGGAAAGGTACTCCCAAAAAAAGCACCAATAATTTTCAAAAAAACTAAAAATTTGAAAAATATATTAGCTCCAAGCTACGCATTAAAAATCGGACGCAAAGGTACACTTTCTAATATTAAAGGTTTTAATCCTTGTAATTCATGTAAGGCTTGCAAGAATCAGAGGTATATACAGAAAAAAGAATTTATAAGTACAACTACCAAAGAGAAATTTAAAGTTAAATCTAATATAAATTGTAACTCTAGGTATGTGGTCTACCTGCTACAGTGCCCATGCGGGAAACAGTATGTGGGAAGAACGGGTCAAAAATTGAAAGAGAGAATTTTGGAACATCAAAATAATATTAAGAAAAAGTCAACAAAACATATAGTACCGATTCATTGCACTAGTTGCAGAAAATTTAATTGGAATAATTTTTCCTACATGGGTATAGAGCGGGTTGACCCTTATTGGAGAGGGGGCAATTTAATGAAAAAGCTCTCGCAAAGGGAGACTTTTTGGATAAACAAATTAAAAACGTTGCAACCACATGGGTTGAATTTGGATATAGACCTATGGAGCTTTTTTGAAAATTAATACGATGTAGGTACCTTTTTGCACCACTAGTGTAAATGTTGCATTTTTTCTATATATTTTTTATGGTATAGGTGGTAAAATAATTTTTCCACATCATGAGTACCAGTAGTAGAATATTTTTGTATCATTAGATTTAAATGAGTTTTGGGACGGACAAATTGTCCTTTTATGTATTCTGAAATTCATTGAATTCTTATTATATCAGATTTATATATACTGGGATTTGTTGGATTCCAACTGCGTCAGATTTATGTTTACAGATTTTTAATCTGCATTCTGAGATTTGACGTTTTTTGGATTCAATTAAATTTCAATTATAAGTATACTTTTTTCCATTCATCAAATTTTATTTAATTTTTTAATATAATCTATTTTATTTTATTCCAAGGACAACTTTAATATCAACCAACTGCTCTTTGTGGGATGTCTTTGACATTCCACTAAAAGAAAAAAGAGGATAGGGGATGGATCGAATTCTATTTTTTATATTTATGGAATTCTATCCTATATTTTATAATACAATTTAATTTCTTAATCTTATCCAATGATAACGTTAAAATTAATAAATCTCCTTTTTGGGATGTTTTTAATATCTCATCAAAGGAAAAAAGAGGAGAAAAATAATAATGTATGGATACTTTATATCTTTTGGAATATTTGAAAAAATGCAACATAAATTGGGATATCACGTTTTATCCACCTTATAAGTGTGTGTGCTTTATTTTTATTTTCATTTTTATTCTCATTTTTATTTATTTTCCTTTATTTTTATTTTTATTTTATTTCATTTTATTTTATTTTCGTTTTTATTATTTTTTATTTTATTTTATTTTTATATTACATTTTTTATTTTCATATTTTTCATTATTATTATTTATTTTTTTGTCTTTTTTTATATTATGTATTTATTTTTGTTATTTTTTATGTCAGTTTGTCTATTAACTATTATATATCTTTATTTTAATTTGATTCATGTACACATATATTATACAGTGTATACAGTTTTATTGTTATTAAGTATAATGAGGCTGTGTTAGTTATATATATTTGGAATCTTGTAGTACTGTTTGAAGTGTATAATCCTCCCTTTTCCCTATCCCCCCCCTTTCTTCTTGCCTCCGATCCATGTATATTAAATCTGCCTCTAATGAGAGGGACTTGGAATAGAAATACGTGATTCATACATAGAAGGCATAAAGCACTTCCGGGTTTCGGCAGTGGAACGCATGGTGGAACGCATGCGAAACCGACGGACGCATGAGGATGACGTCATAGATATCGGCCGTCGAACTGAAATTTCAAGCACCTGATTCGGATAAAGAGTTTTGAGGACATTGGGGGAGGTATAAAGGGTGGTGAAGGGAAGGGTTGTTTATTGTTCATTTGTATGCTGTCATTTCTGGTCACTGAAGTCCCTGAGGAAGTCCTACATACGGACGAAACGCGTAGGACCCCTGGTGGTGACAGTGAGAATACATCCATTGTTTTATATTTAGATGTAAGTGATTAAATTATTTTTTCTACATTTTTAAATATGTACTACAAGTTCTGTTTTTTTCTTTGAGCACACACCTTTTAACTGTTCCATGAGAGTTTAAAAGTGGTGGAAGAATCATTCCTGGAAGGGCATTTATGCTGAAAAGAGCAATTTTGCTGAAAAGAGCAATTCAGTTTCGAGGCATTTCTATTTCAACGAAAGTGTGAGTGGCCATTTGAAAACTATACATTTGGTTTATTCATACACACAGTTATGCGCTATGCACTGTTCTTGTTATTTGTTTAGCAGATCATCCCCTTTTTTTCTATACATGTTCTGTTGAAGACAGGAGGAAGTCTTCGGGGAAATCCTACCTGATTCAGGGAGGTTTTTTTCTGCTATTTATCTGTTGAGCACTTATTGCACTGTGGTTTGTGCACACATATAGCTTTTTTGTGGCAAAACACCAATCAGCATCTCCTCTTAGAGCTGCATTGATTCAATTAATTTCTATGGGGAGGGTTCAGCAGCTCCATACAGTGTGCAGCATTGAGCCAAGAAGCACCTCTAGTGTCCACCTGATTGATTGCCACAAGAGGTGTTACTAGGCATTAATGTAAACACTGCCTTTTCCCTACATTATTCCTAATGTCATTGGCGGTGTCTTTTGGGATACATTGGAATGGGTAATCACACAGCTTCTGAGAAAAACCCTTTTTGGGAGGTGATTGTAATACAGTAGTAGAGTGTTGGGCACACATAGCCACCCTAAAATTAATTCATTATGTTTACAGTAGTTTCATATTCAGTCTTCAAGTATTGTGGATTTTCCTAATAAAAGTCTGCCACAGATGAAAATAACACCCTTTGACCTCCTCGCTGCATTAATACAAGCCTTCTCAAAATCCACTAAAACCTTTTGAGGTACTCGATTTGGAATTGATAGCTTCATTATTTCAAACATTCTATTATAGTTGTCCATGTTCTTTTCTTGTAGTAAAATGTAAATACAATGGTGGATATGAATTACCCACCTTGCCATGTAACGTGTACACTTCGTAAAATATATCTAGCACTTTATCGAAGGTCACATCTTCATAGATGGTACCTTTGTTCAATTTGAGGGTAAGATCTCTATCACCTAAAACCAGAATTCTGTTTGGATTGCCCATACCTGAATCATAAAGTATCGGTTGATTATACATTTCAGGAATGTCCAAATGTATGGTTTTTGGGTTAGGCAAATTATTGTCAATTCTGTGATAGAGAAGACTTCTCATGAGGGATGATTGTCTGGGCATATGTGCCAATATGTCATCATTTAACCCCGACATCTCATTTCCTATCACATTGTGAAAAGTAGCACTTACTGCTCTTATGTTTTGACTCATTTTCCTTCTGGCAACACGTGCTGCTGCTTTTTGAAGACATGAGTCCTTACAATGTTTTGTTGGTTCTTGAATTATGTTACCATCTTTTGTTTTTATAATTGAATGGCACTTTATGGAACGAGTCTGTCTGCATCTCCAAGTCACCACACCATTGAGTGCGAAAAGCGAGAGAATTCAAACCCCAAGTAAATTATAACTTTGCTGTTTTCCTGGCTTCTTAAAAACTCAAATGTTTGCACTTTAAAAAAAAAACTATAATATTTAATCAAAAAAATGTATATGTAATAAAAAAAGCAATAAAAATAGTTGCAATGAAAAAAAAAAAAAAGGTACTCATCGAAATAATTTTAGCTGGTTGTAGCTAACCTCCTGTTTGCACCTTGGCCGGCTTTAATGGTTATGGGACCCAGGACAATCATCTACTTGTGGACCCCCATGCTAACATTCAATAGTACATTACCCACATAGAATTCTTTTTTTTTTATGTTTCGAAAGCCTTGAAAGTCATTCAGACCTTGAAATATATCACAAAAACTCCAGTCTTATTCAAACCCCATTCTCTCTCACACAGAAGGTGACACCAATGGAAACTGTCTACAATAAAGTGAAACTGAAATTCACATAACCCAACTGTGTCACGCAGACATTGCTCCTAACCCCATGTCCCCTAGTTCAATGTGCTACCGCTCATTAGCCTGAAATATCACCACTTCCATTTTATGCGTTGAACTCTGCCTATGCCATGCCCCGTACCCCAAAACCAAATGTGCAGAAGAAAAATATCCATGACAGTGTGCAGGACTTTTTCATGAAAAGGGGAATTGCAGGGAATTTCAAACTAAAGGCCAAAACAGCCAAGTTTTACAAATTTTCCCATTAAACTATAGTTTAAATTTTGCTATTTTGGCTTTCATTTTGCAATTCACTTCTCAATTCTGTTTTTCAGGAATAAATCCTTAAGTTGGAATTTAAATTCTGTGTTTAAATTTAAACACAAAAATACACTCAATAATGGCTAAGAGTTAATGGTCAATAGGGTGAAGGAGAAATCATGGTAAGGGAACCTGGGCTTTATCATGATGCACAAGTGAGAATGTGGATTAAAATTGTGTTTATTGAAAAACAATTAAAAATAAAATTCACTTTCTCTATTTTCCCTTACAAACATTTACACTCAAGTTCATTAAAGCCCACTTCTTACACAGTCCACTTTTGTTTAGGAATGAATTAGTAAACCTATAACAAATGTATTATTTGATTATACTTCATAAAAATCACAACTCAAATAGTTGCATTTTAATATGAAATATTTTTGTCATAAGACATCGATAATATAAAATATAGATATATTCATACTCAGAAATGGGCTCTTGTGCCACTTTACTCCAATCTCTCTAGAATGTAAGCTTGTTTGAGCTGGGCCCTCAACACCCTCTGTTCCTGTGTGTCCAACTCATCTTATTGCAATTACATGTCTGTTAGTCCACCTATTGTACATTGCTATGGAATTGTATGGTGCTTTAATATCTATATATTACTTTAAATTGTGCATACATTTTCACCTTTATTTGAAAATTACTATATTTGCATATTATTCCGTGTGGGCCTTTTTCATAGATTCGCATGTTCCCTACTGGAAGACAATTGTATGCTCTTGGAGCGCACTTGTGGGTTTTGCATCAACGTAGCTGATATCTGAACTATTAGATGGTTAATGCTTATTCATCAGTGCTGCTATGGCTTGATCAGACAATAGTTGTACACTTACCAAAATGTGGTTTTTAAAAAAAGATTTTTAACATTTTGTCACATTTGGTAATAATGTGTATTGTTGAGAGTTTCTCACACAAAAAATAAAGGGTCTGGCAACTACTTTTTCACATACATTAAATACATCCTACCCTTACCACTTGTGCCACTTCACCCCACTCCCTCTAGAACAAAACCTCGTTTGAGCAGGGCCCTCAATATTCTCTGTTCCTATGCATCCAGCTTGTCTTGTTTCAAATGCATGTCTGCTAGTCCACCTATTGTACAGCGCTATGGAATTTGTTGGTGCTTTTTAAAATTATAATAATTCTACACGCAATTAAATAATTTTCAAGAGCTCAGGGTATCCTTTAAAAGGAAAGTATTTATTTTAAAGTCTAGAAAGGTTAGTAGTTCTCTTCTAAAAACTGTTAACATTTTAGAGAAAAATATATTTTTATATCACAAATTGTAGTTGCACTCCTGCAACTTGTGTAGAAGGGAATAAGAAATACATTCATTTTCCATTTTTTCTTTTTTGTGCATGTCAAAAGCACATTCCAGCACCCAAAATGCATCTTTAAAATGCACAAATCCCACCATGTTTTATTGCTAAAACAATTAAAAAAATAAAAATAAAAAAAAATGTTCATAGAAACCAACTTTTAGATCTGTTTATTTATTGGGCAATAAATTGCATGTAAAAAAAAATAGTATAAATCACTACTATAGACCAATGTTTTATTTGGTTAAACAATATGTCTTTGTAATAAACTGCAGCTAACGGCACACATTCTGTAGTCAGTACTTGGCAATGAGGTGTAAGAAAAGCATGTGTGATGCAGTGTTTCATGAAAATATTGCAACATGCAGCTCCTGTGGAAGGGATGCAGCCACCAACCTAAAGCTCTCAAACTGTTAAATTCTTGATCTCGTTTCGCGTTTAAATTCAACAGCTGAAGAAGAACTACAGGTTGGCTAGCCTAGCTGTGAAGGTTTAAGTCTCATTAATAAATGCAGACGTACAGGGTCAGACAAAAAATTCTAGTTTAACAATCTGAAAGAACAAGAGTGTTGCACTGGTTTCCATGACAACACCTAGAACCTAATGCCAGAATGGCTCTTTACACATGTGCATTAACTACCAGATTGCAATCATATAATTAAAATACGAGAGCTCTCAGTAAACCATATTTAAGACAAAAACATTAAAAACACAAGTTGCATCTACACATCACATAAACTTTAAGATTATCCTGTTACACTGAATCATACTTTATTCACAGCACAAATTTTGCTCACATTAATATTGGCACACCTTTTTATATTGTTTTAATACAGTTTTCCATCTTACAAAGCTGCTCTACAGTTGCATCTCTTGGCTTCAGTGTAATCTTACCGATGTTTTAGTAAGTAATAAAATAAACAGATTGAAAATTTTATATTCCTATTTTGCACTGGGAAGTAAATACTCATCAATCAAGAATTTTACATTTTCCGCCTTTCATTAGATTAAGATTAAAAAAATAGATCACGGGTTATTTTCAATAACTCTTAAAGGGACACTACCACCAAAGGGTTTATATATATTTAGTATTTTTTTTTTTTTTTTTTAAACCGTGTTGAAAATTATTTATCAATTTTGTCCCTGTTTTAGGATAACTCTACCAATCCACATAACAGCACTTCATTTTCACTGTCAGAGTTAGTCACTGAAGTGTTAATTTACTGGAATAAAAATTGAAAAGTTCTCCAAGTCGGCTATGTTTTCATTACGTCTATTGTGGCTTAAAAACTGACAGTTATGACAATTCACGCTTCAATTAATAACCCTGTATGTTTGCAGGATGGATAGCAGCAACTAATGAACTTGAGATGACTGGGTTGACAAGAGGGGGAAGGGTAAATAGAAACTCCAACAAGTGTTGGGACGAAAAAGCAAGTAGCATGGAGAAGTAGGCGTAGCCCACCCCCCCCAGGATTACTTTGGGGCTTGGAGGGAGTAATTCACTATAGATTGGCAGATTAGGTTAGCTGGGGGCTTCCACTTATGTACGAATTGATGCCGCCTATTTAGACTATAGCTGAAAGTGGAAAATACAACAAATTTGCCAAGCATGTCCAAATAAGGATTGTTTAAAAAAAAATATTAAAAAAATACATAAACAATTGGCCATAGCGGCAGATGATGTAACTTATTAATTATTTTTGTGATATTCTGTGTGATTATGGTAAAGGAAACCTCTATTTGTATGTTCGGTGCTTGTGTTCTGCAAACTTAATTGTTGGTAGTGTCCCTTCTATTCTAGAAATCTCAGGTAGATATTGAATAGCTATCCACAAAGAACTAATGGGTTATAAGTAATGTCAACATACAAAACATTTTATTGAGGTACAAGGAGAAATGGCTGAAGGCTGCTGTACAGGGAAGTGACAAAAACACTTTGATCAAATGACTCCAGTACGAAAAAGCACACTTGGTTAATACATGGCTTTAAAAGTGAGGCTACAATTCTGCATCTCAATGCAATACTGCGGGAAGTCAGTCAAGTACAGATGTGCCGGTCATCTGAATGTTTTACATAGTCCTTTAATTTCCATGAGTTGTGGAGCTTCCGAAGATGTTTATATGTAGGTAGGCTTACATTCAGAGCTGGATGGACTTCTTTAATACCTGCTTCCCCCATCAAAGATAAGCCACAGATCCCAAAGTAGGCATGCAATGCATCTGAAAACATGTAGTTAAGGCAGATGACATTACAAATAAATTAAGGCCGGTATAGTTACAGTATATCTAGCATGCAAACAAATTACATTTAAAATTAAATTATATTTACATGCTGTGCTAGAAAATGGGTGTATGTATCAAATTTTAATATTAACATTTCACACTACAAAACCTGCGTCCTAGGCATGCTGGGACAGTGGCGGATCCAGAGCCTGATCTCAGGAGGGGCACTTGTAGATTATTTAAATAAATAATCCATACACAATAACCACTACAGCTCAGTGTAGTGGTTATGGTGCCAATAGTGCCGGGACCCCCTCCCAGAGTAAGTAGACAAACCGTTTAAGAACAGTTTGACAACTTACCTGAGGTCTGCTAGGAAATGGGGCTGTCATAGGGCATAGGAGCAGTGGTGTGTGTGAGTGGTGCAATGTGTGTGTGTGAGTGGACAGTGTGTGAGCAGTGTATGTCAGGGGTGCAGTGTGTGTGTTAGGGGGCAGTGTATGTGTGTAGGGCAATGTATGTGTGTAGGGTAATGTGTGTATCGGGGCAGTGTATGTGTGTCTGGGGAAGTGTGTATGGGGCAGTGTGCGTGTGTGTGTGTGTGTGTATGGGGCAGTGTGCGTGTGTGTGTGTGTATGGGGCAGTGTGTGTGTATGGGGGGGCAGTGCTCCTGGGCTAGAGTTCACTCTCGCGAGATTTGGAGCGTTGCCATGGCAACGCTCCGTGCTCGTGAGAGGAGGACCCGGAGGAGCTGCGGGCTGAGCTCCCGGGTCCTCTCTCCCTACCCCCGCCAGGCTGCCAGCACAGTGTCTGCGGACCGGGGAGGGAAATCTATGATCTCCTTCCCCGGTCCGCAGGCACATTGCAGGGCTGGCGCCTGCATGTGCTGGCAGAGGAGAGGGAGACCGTCGGTTTTCTCCCGTTGCACCCCCCCCAGATCCGCCACTGTGCTGGGATTCAAACAACAGAACTGTGAAAGAACTCTCATTGAACAGGTTCAGAAGCAATCTTCTGGTAACATAATGAAGCTGTATATTTCCGAGCGACACATATGTAGATGTTCTAACTAATTTAATCTATGAAAATACAAATAAAATTGTTTATATTTACCTAATGTAGACATGTTGCCTTAAATAAACTAACTTCATAATGTAAAGAGCATGATGTAATAAAAAAAAAAAGAAAAAAAAAAAAGAAAAAAAAAAGGTTTATAATATTGCATTTCAGTCTACCCCCATAAGAGAACATTTTGAATTATGAGAACAATGTTAAGCAACTTGCAAAACCCAACTGGAATATAAAGGGATACTATAGTCACCAAAACAACTTTAGCTTAAAGAAGCAATTTTGGTTTATAGATCATGCCTCTGAAGTATCACTGTCCAATTCACTGCCATTTAAGAATTAGATCAGTTTTCTTCCTGTTTATGCAGCCCTAGCCACACCTCCCCTGGCTGTTATTGACACAGCCTACATGAAAACAAAATGGTTTTATTTTCAATTAGATGTAACTTACTTTAATAAGTATCTCCTGCTATGTAAATTCAACTTTAATAAAACACAGGAGGCTCATGCAAGGTCTAGCAAGCTATTAACAGAGCAGGAGATAAGAAATTCTAAGCCAAACAGAATTTGCAATAAAGGAAGTGGACTATTAGAGGACTATTTACAGGACATTTTTAGGAAGACTGTGTAAGTCACATGCAGGGAGGTGTGACTATGGCTGCATAAACAAAGTGATTTAACTCCTAAATAACAGAGAATTGAGCAGTGAGACTGCAAGAGCATGATCTACACACCAAAATGACTTAATTAAGCTAAAGTTGTTTTGGTGACTATAGCGTGCCTTAAAAAAAAAAAAAGAGAGAGAGAGAGAAAAGAATATCCATTTACCTGGGTGACTATCTGGCCATTTTGCAAAGCCTCCAACAAGACGATCTTGTGTAGACAAGATAAAATTTCTGTTTTTCTCTAGATTAGTATACTTGAAGATGTCTAGAAGCTGTAAATGAGAGAAAGAAACACAAACAGAAAAACTATAAAGCAATTGTGTTTAATAACGAGAATCTCCTCACCACATAGTGTACACAATGAGCAGAAGTAGCCAAGACCTCAAGCCAGTCAGTATAACCTAATCTTAATCCTCCCCACCCCTAATTACATGGTTTTATATATTTAAGTAATGTGGTTTTACCTCCACTCCTGCAGGTAAAATCAGGGACACTGAGATCGGTCTAGCTGAACGCTGTAGCTTCAGTGGGTCTCCCTCAAGTGTTCCCAAGTGGGTGCTGTGGAGGAGCAGGCGCAGGAGACTGTGGCGGTGGCAGTCTGTTCCATACCTCCTTGGCCCCCACACCTGCTTCAATTCGACCCAACACCAGACAGGCGGGCGGGCGTGCGTGCTCCCGGCACAGCCTCTGGGTCTCAGAGGCCTATCACTCAGGTTTCCAAACTACATGAGCTCTGCGGACTGCAGACCAGAGCTCCGGCTGGAGGCCGGGAGGTTTGCTTGTTGGGGATGTTCCTGAGCGGCTTGTGTGTTTAGGCACTACTGAGGGACTCCATCGAGAGGGCAGACAATGGCAAAGACATGGACTCTCACTCATTAGGAATCGGCTGACCGACTAATACTCTGCCAGCAGATAGGCTGTATGTTCACGGCCACACTCTGAACCTAGCTTGCAATGCTCTTGATATTTTGTTTTTAGTGATATCTCTACCATAGTTTAAATCTTTGGACCCAGTGGTTTATTTCTATCTTAATGTTTGCTCAAAGTTCTATGCCTCAGCATGTTTTAATCACTCTATTTACATAGAACTAAGTTCTTGATGCTTTTTCTAGTAACAAAAATAGTGCATATCATCGACATTTCATATTACTAATTATTGTAATTTGTCATATTGTATTCTTGTTTTCTTGCTTTGTCATGGCAACGTACTACAAAAATAAAGTTTGACACAAAAAAAAAAAAAATGTTTGATAGCTTGCTTATAGGTATTGGTAAGGGTCCTGAAGGCATTACTAGCAGTACAGCTTACTGAAAATGTTGGCATTAAATACACTTTAATCTTATATTTCTAAAATAAAGGTATTTAAAATGTGTTATTGTAATTTTGATCATTCTCTGGAATGCTAACAGTAAAATGGTAGAGGTGTTTCACTCCTCGTTGACTGTAGAAATGGTATCACCCAATTAACCTCATTCATTGTTTGGAAGAAGAGGGTTAGTGGACATTTTCAACTCATTTGCGGGGTATAAAATGAGTGACTAGTGGCTTCTGCCCGAGAAATTTGTCCCTTTAGAGTTTTTCTGTTTTAAAATGACATATTCCATTATGCTTTGTCATTCTAAAGGCATGCAAAGCATCAAGGGAGTTGTAACTCTACAACAACTGGGGATCTACCCACTGGGCACCCTTGCTCTAGAGGCTGGTAATCATTCCTGGAGTATAAATGAGGATGAGTGAGGCTTAAAGAATGCATGCACGCGTACCAAATGTATCAGTAGAAGCATCAAGAAGAAGTGCTGTCACCCTTAATATGGAAACATAATGAAGGTAGGTGCTTTTGTTTCCTGTTAATTGCCTGCAGCTGCCTTCTGATTTGAGTTTATTTAACCGAACAGGAAATAAAACTTCTAAAGCACGAACTTCACAATCTAAACCAGTAAGCAGGGTCATGCAAGGCCCAGGATAGCTCTGTAGAGTTAACTGGATTTTCCTGCAGAAGCAAACTGGTATTAGGAAATGCAGCCATGAGTGCCTGGTCGGACCCAGGTAAATTGTCAAACTATACAAAAACATATTTACTGTGGGACGGTGAAATTTAGGGGACATTGGGGGGAGAGAGTATATATTATACACTAGCAGGCATAATTACCAATGGATTTTCAAAAAAAAAAAAATAATAATTTTTTTTCCCCCATTTACATTCTGTGATTTACCGTTAAAGTTGCTCCAACCCAAAATGAGTAACACGTGTCAACAGGTTTGTTTGGTCTGCCTTGGAATCCATCTTGTTGCCTCATTATGCACCATCTTCTAATTCTGTTCAGCTCCTTCTCGGAGAACACTTCCTCCAGCTTTCCCATTAGACAAAGAGAAGCAATACCACAAAACGTAGAGCCACCTGTTCCCCAAAATTAAAAAAACAGCATTTATAAAATAAGAATCCTGTTAAATGCATAGAATAAAATAAAAAATTGCACGCACATCAGTAAATGTATTTTCCACTGTGCTGTAGGATAAGTCAAGTAAGTTGGAGCTTCATCACCGGCAATAATCATGAATACCTCACAAAAAGCATAAATTAAAAACAAAAAACAAAAAACAACACATAAAAACAAACAAACCCCAAACCTGATTAATTCAATATCAATATTCAGAGAGCTAAAGGCTGGTTACCCCTGATTAGCCACGGTGTCTGAAGCATGTAAGGAGATATTTTAATTCCTCCCCCCCCTGTTCATCACTGGTACCTTCAATATACACATTTTTCCTTATCGTGGTGATCGCTTGTTTTTGCCGTTTTGAACAGAACTGCCTCATTTGACTATTTAGGATTGGAGCCACCTAACCTGGTGTCTTCCATGGAGTAAGTGGAGCATTGTCTCTCTTAATTTATGTGTTCTTTTATTTATTATTTTTCCCCGTTTTGGGCATATCCTTTTGCATTTGGTATGTCAAAGAAATTATACTCCCTTCTCCTAAAGGGACACTTCAGAACTCCGAAGCACTTTTGGCGCATTTCTAAATTAGCCTTGTTACACTCCCTGGCTGCCAGTTACATAACTGATCCAGATACTTCCTGGTTGTTTAGCTCAGTGAAACTAAACTCAAGAGCCAGACATTGCCTAGAGTACCTGCCTTGTAATGACTCATTATGCTACATTGGGAAGTGTGTGATTGGACAACCACAGAAACTTTGTGTTAGAAGAGAGTTGGCAAAGCTTTAGACAAGAAGTCTGCTGCTTTTCCAATAATAAAAAAAAAAAACAACAATTAAATATATGCATGTTTTCATCTGGGATATATCTACTAAACTGTAATTTTTAAAATGTATCTTTTTACTTGCATTTGGGCACTGGAGTGTCCCTTTAAATGACATGCATGAGAAGATAGAAAAAAAAAAAAAAAAATCACACACTGTCTGCCTATCCAGACCTTCTTTTCTTAGATCACTTTCGAAACACAGGCTCAAAAAATGGAATCAGCTGTAACTTGAACTAATCTCAGGAAGTCTGTAACATTAATGTCCTGGGTGCTATCCTGATATTAGAGGCACCTTAGTTCATACAAACATGCATACTCATACTAAAAGTGTTAAAGGGTTACTCATGGCCACTTTAGTGTTATAAAGTGGTAGTGGTGCCTGGAGTCTGTATGTGCAGTGTTTTGCACTGTACATACTGAGTTTAAACCCCTTCCATGTTTGACAGCATCAGTGGGACGTCATTAGCCATAATGTCAATTCTGTGCATATTTCTATCACAGAATTTAATTCATTAGTAGAAAGCAATCAGCTGATGCTCTCGACTAATGAATGAGCCGCAAGATTGGCATCTGCAGTTCTGCAAAAGCCAGATGTTGTAAACCTGACTTGAGAGGAGAGTCTGTGCATGGTGGGAGCTCAGGTAAGAGGACAAACCATTGCTAAAGAATGAAACAAGGGTATTTCTACTCTTACTGTGCTATAGTTCTTACAATGGTTGGAGTAAACCTTTAAGGTCTTGTTGGGTTCTTTTAGAATTCAAAAATAAATAATTCAAGAACATAAAAAAATTCACACCAAAAATAATGTACTAAACAGTGAAACCCTAAAATATGCATCCTCTGTCCAAGTACAGTCAGTGAGAAAAATGAAAACAGGCATTTACAAAAAAAAAAAATAACTAAAAAAAATACATATTCTACGAATAATTCTCACAAGACGATATTATTTTTAGTATAAAAGTTTGCCCTTTTGTACATATTCAAGTGTGACAAACAACAAAGTTATGCTAAAATTAGGTAAGTCCTTTGAAATAGTGGTACAGAGAAAGCCTGTCACTTCCAACTTTGGGCAGATTAAATTACTGGGGCTATTTGGCAGACAAAAAGATCACATTCCAGATTTCATCTACTTCACTGGGAAATTCATGGCCACAGACCAAAGAAAACATTCCCAAAATTAAAATCATGAAAGCTAAACATGCAAAAGACATGTCCAATACCATGGAAATCAGTACTAAAGGAATTAGAACACAGCTTAAAAAGTATCCATCCTGAACTGAAAAGTCATCCTATTTGAGAACATTTAAGCCAGTTCCTAATTATTAAGGCTAAATGATGTGCTCTGTCTTTTAAAAATGCGTTCCACAATTAGTGTCCATATTGATACTAACCCAATATGGTGAGATGCATACATGCTACCTGGTACCCGGTATATTTCACCTGGTTAGTCACTCCCACCCCATCACTGCCGCCTGAAATTGGATTGGCTAATGCAGGTTTTCACTTCAGCATTAGGCAAGTGGCAGGCAAAGTGGCTGGGCTGTAAGCTTAGTGAAGTCGTTTTGGTGTATAGACCATGCCCCTGCAGACTCACTATTCAATAAAGAGAAATCTAATGATTAAACGTCCTTTATTGCGCGCGGGCTATGCATCAAAAAAGCTAAAACAAGTTAGCTGTAAGAATAGTGGCTATTTAGTGCAATTCTAAAAAAGGCTTAAACTAAATTAATTTAAAAAAAAATTGTAATCTTACCGTGAGCTTCTAATCCAGCGCCCTGTCCCAGTGCATTCTCATAAGACTAAGAAATAAACCAAAAATATATAATTAGCCAATTATAATTATTTAAATATTCAATAACTTCAAGTAAGAGTTATATTTGGTTTTGGGAAAAAAAATATGACATTTGAAGGCACAATATTCCTTTCATTGTGTTTTAGACCCATTCATCGTCTTGAATAATATAATTTATGACTTTAACAGAATAAGCCCCACAAGTAAGTCTGTCTAGTGCTCTAAATGGTTAAAATAAATACAGTTAAATTACTTTTAGATTTTGAAATGCCACTTCATAAATGTGTGTGTGTGTGTGTGTGTGTGTGTAGAAAAATCTGTTCCATTTGACACCGATAAAGATATTGTTAATGGGTTACTCCAAGTACCATAACCACTTCACTGGTTTGAGTAACAAGAGATCTTGTTACTTGGAGTCTGTACATATTCAGTTCAGCTTAAAATGCTCCACATACAGAGAAACTGCAATTTGTTGTCAGAGATATAACTCCAACTCCAGCAGCATCATTAACCCCTTAAGGACAGAGGCAATTGAACAAGTTCTAACCAAAACAAAAACCTGGAATTTGAACTATAAGTCTGTTGAACTATAATTCACCTCTTTCATATTAAGTGCACCCACACTTATTATATATCATTTTGTTGTTTATATATGAAACAATTTAATCTGAATAACAAAAACTGTGAGAAAGTTCTGCATGACATTTTAACGGTGACTGTCATAATACTGTTAGCTTTTATTGCAATAAAATACCCATATTTGTGTTCAGCGATGTCTCGTGAGTACAGCAGTACCCATCATATGCAGGGTTTATGGGAAAAGTTACAGGAGTAAATATATAGAGCTTTCCCCCTTTCAGTTGGTTTGCACATTGACATTTGCCAGATTGGTTTGCTGGGCCTATGTTGCCTATGAGACTGTATTGCAGCCAAGGAATGAAAATGACCCTCATAAAACATACTATTTGCAAAAGTAGACAACCTAGGGTATTCAAAATGGGATATGTCCGGTCTTTTTAGTAGCCACTTTGTAACAAATCTTGGACAAACTTCCTCTTCATATTTTTCACACAAAACCTGTATTATCAGCAATAACACCATTGTCGTATGGTTTACTGCTCGAAAACATTTATATTTGTGTTCAGAGATGCAAAACGAGTACAACAGCACAGGTTTTATGGGGTTTTGGAAAGTTACAGGGTCAAATATAAAGGCTTGGAAATTAAATTCTCTAGACTTTCTGCCTGGGTTGTCATTCAGGTCCACAATATAGAATTAATAAAAATCACATAATTATGCAAAAAATACATAAATATAAGCGTAGAATATATATCAATCAAAATACAATTAGAATAAAATGACTCTGATCGGGAGGCATTAATGGCTGCAGGGTTGTTAGGCAGTCGTCCCCCCAATCGCATCTGACAAGGAGAGCAAGTATAATGTGAGGATCGTTATGGCATGCTATGCCGCCCTAATGCCGTTAAAGCCCTCCATATGTAGGACAGCATAGACATGCACAAACACAATCACAGACCCACACACAGTTACTGGCATACACAAAAATCACAGTCATACACCCACATTTAGTAATTAAGACATCCACCCAGCCTCCCTACCTTACTCTGGGAGGGCTGGAGTGGATCCTCTCCTTGGTGGCCAGTGGTTGCTGCTGCGATGGGATCGCTGTGCTCTTCCTGCACATGTCCCTCGCTTGCCCAGTAGTGATGTCAGTGCCATGCTGACATCATATCCCAGCTTCCGGCTCACTGCAGGGCACGCGAGGAAGCTGTGCCACCTGGGCAGCAACTGGGCTGCATTACAAACCCAGGGCCGCATCTGGCCCGTGGGTTGGACACGCCTGATCTATTTATTTCTAACGGCATATAACAAAAATCGGTCCTGAAATAACGATTAAACTAACCTCAAAAGTTACTATTCTAATTTTCAAATATTTATCTGGTTGCAAATATTAATAACAACCAGCAAGAGTGAGTCTTTAGTTCAAAAATCATGATTTAAATTGGGTCTTACTGACAAGTGATTTAACCCCTTAAGGACCAAACTTCTGTAATAAAAGGGAATCATGACATGTCACACATGTCATGTGTCCTTAAGGGGCTAAAGGGACACTATAGACATGTGTTTGGAGCATTCCTTTAATAATGAAAAATAGCATATCCCGCGCCCAGTTTGAGTTATACGTTATACGTACATAGGTCTTCAGGTAGCTTAGCCCAGTAGACCTCAGAATAAGTATATGCTATTTTTCTTGCTATCTGTTCACTCACGAGGTCTGGGAAGCCTTGTACTGTTTACTGCAGCCTATACTCTTATTTCACTATAGTGATCACCTACTTATTTTTTGTTGTACATTCTTTTAATTATGTCCATGTGTATCTGCTCCCTGCATGCGAAATTACTATGGTCTAAATATGGGTTTATAAAATAATCTAAATTTAAATGATTATACATGTTTAGTGTGGGGCTTAAGCAGGACAGTAATATAAAATGAGCAGGGCTATAAAATTTCTCCTTGGGCTGAAGCCCCTGCTCTGCCACCTAGCAACGCCCTTGGTGGTAGTCGAATCTACTTGTACGTCATCACAATATACTTGTTCTGACACAAAATATTTTCAGTGTAAAAGAATAGAGAAACTGCCTAGAGCCCTGGACATTGTCAGGGTCACTAAACGCTGCATTTTCACAAATGAAATCTGAAGTAAATAAAACTGTGTCAAGAATATAAGATATAATAAATATATAAGCTTTAAATAAAAATTCAAGCCGCAACTGACATTTCGCCTCATATTTGCCATTCAGATTTAATTTTTAAAAATCAGTTCAAAATTAGAATTATGCTGAGTACCTCATCCTCTGTCGTCCCCCCTTCGCCCCCCCAATAGTCTCTCCCTCTTTACTCGATATAGTGTGTGGTGTGTGCTGGCTGTATGTAAGGAGTCTGTATGAGGTGTGTTCTGACTATATGCAATATTGGTGTGTAGTGTGTACTAAATGTATGTAATGTGTGTGGCATATGTTGTCTCTATGTGATGTTTGCAGTGGTACTCTGTATCAGCAGGGAGAGGGCTATGATCCCTAGTGGTCCAGTGGCGGTCCTGGATCCCTGGTGATCCAGCGGAGGAGCACAAGATCTGCTCTTCCTGTGGGTGCAGACCACAGTAATCATTCACCCCATAGTCCGATAGCTGCACGTTATTAGTGACAAATTATTGTGGTTTGCATATGCAGATCGCATGCTCCATGCACATCCCCAACATCTCTCCCCAAGGCACTCACATAGTAAAGACCAAGAATAAACTCCCTCCTAGAACTAAATGCCACATCCATTCTTTAAAATATCTTGCATCAAATAAAAATATACATATGCAAAATAAACATGATATTCCATACAAGCTAATTACCATATTGATCATTAGGGTTTCTGAGAAAAGATTTAAAAAAAGTGATAGAAGAAAAGTGAAAAAGAAGGGTTAAGGAGATCTCCCTTTTATGTTCTCCTACGACGTATCACCATCCAGGAGACATGTTGGGACTTCACAAACAAATACAGAGACCCCCACCCCAAGTGACAGGTTCTCTGTCACACTAACTTCCTGTTTATATATGTAAAAATCGACATATAAAAAGAAATGTTGCAAATTATGACAGCCTCTCTGCTTTATACCAAGGGCTTGGTGGTTTGCAAATTTTGCTGCATTTATGAAAATTGTCAACAAAAGCACATTGTCCTGCTGCCATAACTGAATATCGAACAATGTAACATTGCACATATTTTAAATAAGAGATTTTCATCTTTACTTGGCCAACAGACATGCAAAGTAGAAGATGAAGAAATCGCGTGAATAATAAAAGCAAGTTAAGGATCACATGTTGGACATTAAAGGGACACTCACATCAGCATAAGCGCATTGAAGCTGGATATATTGGACATACGAATCCCTCCAGTTTTGTCAAAATGTTTCAAAGTGGGAGCAGGTGTCAGCTCAGCAGAAAAGCCTTAAACTGTAGTGGTTATGGAGCTTGGAATTTCACTTTAAACCAAGAGGATGGCAATTACATAATGGGAGCAAGACTTCAGTGACAAAGTCTCTGTAATAAATGTGATCAGTTTGTTAGAGCAACCCGAATCTAAATGTTCTGTGAGTAAAAAAGTTAATTTCATAAAAAATGACAAAAGTATATGGGAGTAAACACAATTCACAGAGGCTCCCAGCACTACTGAATCCAAGAGTAGAATGGATTTTCAGTGTCAATCCTCCAGAACATACTTCCATACAAAGGAGAATAGAATGACAAGTGCTAGTACTTAAATGTAAGTATTTGTGCTTTGTCATAATCCTTACCGTACTTCTTCTAATATAGTCAATAGATTTTTCCAGGTCCATTCCTGACCAGTCATCCAGCAAATAACAAATGCAGGATGCACAGTACACAAACCGCATGTCATTCTCACTGCCCTCGGGTACGGCACAGAAACTAAAAGAGAAATACATTTCATTAAAAAGCGCATTAAAAAAAGAATATCCTGCTTACACATCCATATTAGCAAACAGAATATAAACATGAATTTGTGTACTTTGCAAATCAAACTCTTGCTATATTGTATGCTTTACTAAACAGAAGATTGACCCCATTCATGGTTTACAGACAAATACTTTTACACTGTGACAAGAAAATGAACGGTCATTGAAGAGTTAAACATAAAGCAAAATTACATACAAGGGTAGAAAAAAGGCATTATGTTTTTATCCTAAAATGAAATGATGGGTAGATGAAGAACTATGAGATCTGAGAAATGCAAATTATAAGTGAGGTGCTACGCTGCCCTCCTTCAATTAGCCAGCTCTACCAAATTTATATCCAAGTTTTGAGGCCGACTCACTAAACAGTGCACCAAGGGAAACTATAAAAGGTAACTTAAAATACGTTTTTATTGTATGCATTCTCTTTATAATGCATTGCAGCGGCTCTGCCACCCCTCCCTTCAAAATTAGTATTTTATAAAGTTAAATCTTTATGAACTACTCACATTGACAGCCACAACTTAAACAAAAGACAAAGTACGGACTACTTCCTACATCTGACAAATTGGCAGAGTTACCGCCACCAAGTTGGCTTGTTTATGGAGGCTCCCACAGCTTCGCTGGATCCCTTTATAGATCTCAGTGTTTTACTCTACACACATGCATGAGAGTAAAACACTGACTTAGGTTACTGGCATATGAAGCACACGAAGCTGAAGAGGACTAACAGGAAGACCAAGGTGGTAGCCACGAGGGACAGATTCAGGTAAGTAAAACATCTTCCAGGTAGGCAGTCACCATTTTAGTTCCTTGTGAAATATGCAAAGACCCGAGATGATGACAGAGCCACTTTAATAATAGGAGGTAATTTTTATACCAAATTTTCTCTTAAAGAAGAATCCTAGTCTCTTACATAGACCCCAGTTATATACCCACACACATGTGCATGTGTAGACCAGTATTGCTCAACTTCTGCCAGGAGCAAAAGATGGACTGGAACCTGAAGTTGACAAAGCATTGACACTATCCACTGTGGTCACTGCCATCCACTGTTTTGTGCCTATGGGCATCTGATATTCAATTCTGATTCTGTGCAAATGTAAATGTCACTCAATTTTAACGTAAAAGTACCAATTCAACAGGAAAAATAAAAATTAAACACAAAAATACATTGCAACTGTCCTCCCAAATGAATTCCACTAACAGAAAACATGGTGTTGCCATAATTAAAATGATAAAATACTGTACATACATACCTGCCATCAGGAAGCTGGAGCGCTCGCAGACCTGCAAGGCAGGCTTGTTTATTTACTCTGCTAAAATCATCCCCCAGTATAAGCAAACTGGAGAGAGCAGTGTATGTCATTGCTATGTGACCACTGTCATAGGGGTGATACAATCCATGTCCCTGCAAAGAGAAAAGGCCATTTATAGCTGTAAAGGTTAAATTGCTTGAAGTATTCTTTTAAATTATTTATTTACATGTACTCTGTTGGTTGTAGCTTTTTGCATAGGACCAGACCTTAGTGACCAGACCATTTTTCAATTTTCTTACCGTTAAGGACCAGGGCTGTTTTTACATTTCTGCGGTGTTTGTGTTTAGCTGTAATTTTCCTCTTACTCATTTACTGTACCCACACATATTATATACAGTTTTTCTCGCCATTAAATGTTCTTTTTAAAGACACCATTATTTTCATCATATAATTTACTATAAATTTTTATTTATTTTTTTATATAAAATATGATTAAATATTTGTTGGTTTTTTTTTTTGTTGTTTTTTTTTTTTAAACACACACTTTTTCTAACTTTGACCCCCCAAATCTGTTACGCATCTACAACCGCCAAAACACCCATGCTAAATAGTTTCTAAATTTTGTCGTGAGTTTAGAAATACCCAATGTTAACATGTTCTTAGCTTTTTTTTTGCACGTTATAGGGCTATAAATACAAGTAGGACATTGCTGTTTCAAAATATATATTTTAAAAATTTATCAATAGTCACATAATGTAACACGGTTATCTGTCATAAATCTCTGAATCACACCTCACATGTACATATTTTTTTTTAAAGAAGACAACCCTGGGTATTCAATATGGGGTATGTCCAATCTTTTCTAGTACCCACTTAGTCACAAACACAGGCCAAAGTTAGCATTTATATTTGTTGGTGTGTTAAAAATGCAAAAAACAATTATGAAGGCTAACGTTGGCCAGTGTTTGTGACTAAGTGGCTACTAAAAAAGACTGAACATGCCCCATTTGCAATACCTTGGAGGAGAAAAACAGTTAAAAGCCATACAGGTCGCAATTATGACAGTTGGCCAGCCCTAACATTAAGTGAACACTCTAAACACCATTGTTGTTACTGTAGTGGTTAAGGTACCATTGGTGGTCTAGAGCCCCCCTCTGCAGTGCAGGGAAATCTGTTGTTGTTCTCAGACAATAAGCTAAGGCCTGCACTGCTTAGGAACTTTCGTCTCTCTGGTGTTAGTAGTGGCACAGGAAACAAAACTTTCATAACAAAATGCTGCGCATACAGACTCTAGGCAATATGACCATTTCAAATCATCAAAGTAATCATGGTGCTTGGCGTAACACTTTAAATGTGAAATAAAAAATAAAATAAAAAAAGAAGACAAATGATAAAATGATAAAGAGCAGTCTAACAGCTTTGATTTCAGGGTATTTCCATCCATAAATAATGAAAGAGTTACCTTTTATAGCAGGGCAATGCAACTGATTCAATTTCAACAAGAGCAACTGAAAATTCCCTCTCTGAATGTAATTTATGCTGGAGACAACACTAAAGGTTAAAATATTGCCACATGGTGAGTGAAGATGTTTAAAGTGCAGGAGTGGGAAGGGAGGTGGGAGGGTGGTAAGAGCACTGAGCATGGTGCCCACCAATACATCAGAGAATATATACTTGAAATTACTTATTTCAATGTAGTTGCTTCCTGTATGTACTGTTAACCTCCTGAGTTATTTCCTGTATCTCCGGTAGCTTAGTGAACTTCCACGCTCTTGCTATAGACAACTGTGCTGCTAGTAGAATGCATATACTCAATCTCCTCGCATCAACTGGGAGAATCTCAGGTATCATCAATAACAGATAGCACGCTAGGAACTGTGGCAAATCCAGATTATAGACCTTCTTCATTAAATTTCATATTTATGACCAACTGTAGGGGCAGGCCCACCAAATATGCATTAAGGTACGAAGTTCAGAACCAGAGCACCAACACTGTGAGGACAGGGATGAAAAGATTTTGCGGACTCTGGAAGGCGTCATATACCACCTCATAACCAATTTGTTGTGCATTTCTAAGTGGTTTGTACATTTAGTAATTTTTTGCACAGAGCATTAAGCATAAGGTGGCAATCCCTTAACAAAAATTGTACTTGCAAATCCTCTTCTCATTTGCACATGTAGTTATAGTAAGCTCATGAAAAGCTAAATGAAAACCATTATAAATGGATAAGAGTTTCCGCCTTCTCTGTGTACCCATACAATGCCCCAGTACCAGCATGGGAAAAGCATGGGCCTCCCCTTAAGGGCAACTAAAAGTGGAGCCAAGTGCTGGATAATAATACATTTAAATTGAAGGTAGGTGATACTGTAAGCAACCGCTAGTTCTGGTTTTGGAGTCATCTGAATGTTGCGGAGTAACAGATATTTGGGTGATACGATTTTCCACCCATGACCCCAAACGTATATAAGTGAACAGTGCCCACAGAGCACCCAGCGGCGCACGAATAAGAATGTATTGCACTACTCCACACTCTTTAAGAAATGTATTCCACAGTTACCCAGATAATTTAGCAGTGGAATGAAGTATAGACTTGTGAAGAATTTAACAACATCCAATCGGTGAGGGTGCATGGGGAATGGGAATTAAATTCAATGTCTATCCACTGTGCTTCCCCATGTGGTGTGAGCAGCCCAATAGCCTGTGCCAGGATTCTAGCATTGTAGTATTCTTTGACATTAGGCACTCTCAGACCTCCATTATTCACTCAAAGTAATAGGATGGAACTAACAACTCTCGGACACCTATGTCCCTAAATAAACCTTGCAAATAGCAAGGGAAGCATGCAAAATACGTATAATAATTTAGGTAAAAGAACCATTTTAAGGGTGCTACTTCTGCTGAATCAGGAGATATGCAAATGTTTCCTGAAATGAAAATCCCTTTTCCCCGTTTGAATAAGCTGAGGGTTGTACGATTTATTACTATTATTAAAGTTTCTTCTATGGACTTCACTATGTTGACCCCCCAAAATACTTAATACTGTTCCGTCTTAAGTAATAAGTGTATACTGTAGCATTTGAACATCCTGGAGATGGATATTTTTGGACAGCACTTGGGTCTTGGGGTGTTCAATTTATAATAAGAAATCTTACCAAACCCCATCAGCACCTTGTGTAGCGCTGGCAGTGATCAAAAAGGGTTAGTAGTAATGAGCAGGATGTCATGCGTAAAAAAATAGTGTGAGCTTCACACGCAAGCCCCATGACCTTGTCATGACCTGGGCTAATGGCTAAAATATAGAGAATCTGTGACAACGGGCACCTGTGCCTGGTCCCATTAGTAATGTGAAATGGTTCCGACGTGAACTCTGCATATAAGATCTGTATGGGAGGAACAGCATATAGCAACATAATGGTCGCAATGGCTGCACACGGGAAGCTGAAACATTGGAGGACTAGTTTCATGTGGTGTCAATTAGGCCCATCACAGGCCTTTTCTGTGTCAAAGGCCATTAGCATCCCCACTAGAGAGTGGAGTTGCAAAGTCTGTTTGATGGTAAGGAGAGATCTTGAGTTATCTGGATTTAACATAACCTGTCTAATCGTTATGAATTATGGAAGGAATGATAGTGGATAATTAATTAGCAATCAGTTTAGATTACAGCTTTATGTCACAATTCGAAAGATATGGGTCTAAAGTTAGCACATTTAGTGGGATTCTTACGCACTTGGGTAAAATGAATAATATGCGCTTTAAGCATTTTACCCGGCAATGACCCCCCCCAGAGGTGCTAGAATTGAATACTTTAAGGAGGTAAGAACCAAGCAAATGGAACGATTTATGGTAATAAATGCCTGGTGCCTTATGAGTCAGGAGGGCTGAAAACGCGGCCAGAAGTTCATCCCTGAATAACTGTGGTAACTCTACGGATGACAAGGTATTAATCGTCTTCTATGTGGGCTGATACACTCCTGGTTGTTCCCTCAGATTATACAGTTTATAGGAAAATTTGCAAGCTAATTTGCAATAAATTAAAGATTAAGAATTTACCACCCTTTTTCGTCCAGCAAGTAAGATTCTAAAACTTGCTATTTTTCCTCCGATTGGGAGGCCAGTAGGACTCCAGCTCTGTTGCCTTGGATATAAAAATTGATTTCAGTCCTTCTGCAATAGAACTGGTTTGATTTGCTGATAATAGGTATTTCAATTTTGATTTTAGATATTTTTTAATTATTAACTCTTACGGTCTGCACTTTATATCCACAGACAATATTGTATTTCAAGCCCAATTTGCTGGCAAAATATTTATACACTGCCTTATAAATAGTAGACTACCTTAGGAAACTACATGTGGAATTAAATTTATACATGTTTCTAAAACTGTCTGGATTCAGAGCAATAATTTGTGGGCAACATCTATCAGTGCATAACATTTACACGTATAACATAAAACAAAAAACAAAACAAAAAACAAAAACAAAATGTGCATTTATGTTTTCTTTTTTAATAAAAGTAAAGTAAAAAGTCGTGTTATGTACATCCTAATTTACCTTTGAAGGGTTAAAGGGCAATCCCAAACATGATGAGCCGCGAAAGCCACAGTGATCAAGATTTGATTCTGCAAAAGAAAAGTAGTTTATAAACTGAACTGATCAGGTCAAGATTATTTTTATACTTTTTGAAACAGCAATTACCACATTTCCATGTCAAAAAACAGTAATTCTTGCATTTTTAATAGATCTCAACGGCTTTCTTTTTACTAATTAAATATAGATCCATAACTTAGTAAAACACAACTGCAACCATAGATTTCCTGAATTCACTCCCAAAGCTCACTCTTCTTTTTATAGATTTTAAGTGACAATTCCTATTAACATATATCCAAAATATAAATTTGTGGTTTATTTCCTACAGTGGTAATTCGAAGAAAGATTTAACCCCTTAAGGACCAAACTTCTGGAATAAAAGGGAATCATGACATGTCACACATGTCATGTGTCCTTAAGGGGTTAAAGAGATACTGTTGGCATCAATACAACGTTAGCTTAATTAAGCAGTTTTGGTGTATAATCATGCCACTGCAGTCTCAATGCTGAATTCCATACAATTTCGAAGCTAGATCACTTGTTTCAGTTTATGCAGCTCTAACCACACTTCCCCTGGCTGTGACTGATACAGCCTACATTAAAAAAATGGCTTTGTTTTCAATCGAGCAGGAGCTGATAAATTCTAAATTATACAGAATGTGCAATAAAGGAAGTTTAAATCAGATCTCTCTTTACAGGAAGTGTTTAGCAAGGCTGTATAAGTCACATGTAAGTACATGTGACTAAGGCTGCATAAACAAAGTGATTTAACTCGTAAATGGAAATTAAGCCGTGATAATGCAGGGGCATAATCTATGCACCAAATCAGCTTCAATAAGCTAAAGTTGTTTTGGTGCCTATACTATTCCTTTAAGGACAAAATAGCCAAACTGGAAAATTTCTCTAAGTCCGCTATGCTCTGGTCTTAAATTTCACTTTGCATTTTTACTTTATTAAATAAACCTGTTAGTTTTATAAACAGTGACACAGTGTTAAATGGTTACTCATACCTGTAACAGGAGCCCTCTGTATTCTCAGTGGTTATGGTGTTTCCCCTTGCTGCATTTGTTATAGTGTTTCCCCCTTTTTGTTGTAACAAAGGACACTTCGCCCCTAGATTATGTAGAGAACTAACTGACCATCTTTTACCTTGGAACTATAACCCCTGTGACTTATTTGGTCCTAGGACATTATTTCTGCCAGCTGGGACTTTTACCAATGCCACGTTGAACCGAACAGCCGAAGTACCGCACCACCCATAATTGGAAGTGTGCTGCTTGTTAACCTCCCAAAAGCTGTGGTTAACCGCAGCCTTAATTTGACAAACGGCTGGGTGGTCGCCGTTCATATACTCGAACATGTGGCGGTGGCCATCTTGTTTAGTTGAACGCGGCCATTGGTGTTTTGTTGTCGAGTGCATGGAACTAAAATCGGACACTCGACGGCACGAACACCGCTAGAACTTCCACCTCCAGCTAACTTCAACTAAATCCATACGAACAGAGTGCCGTTCAGTAAAAGTAATCTACCGAACACACTCTGACATTGACTTAGTGCACGAACAGTCCCTTTCGAACATTCAAAGTACATTTTAATTATTGGAAATAGACCGACCGCATAGCCTAATTCTCTGGAACTATTTTGGGCATATAAACATGCGTGTGGTCGGTCAAAAGAGACTTCCATAAAATTTCTGAACCCCTGCTCTGATCTGGATGATTTTTTAGATATGTTGTTCACCCAGATCAGGGCTTTCAGGGGATGTAATATTTGTGAGGTTCCCATATGTTTTTGGAGTGTTTTCAGAAAATGGGTAAAAACTGTATTTTTTTGTTTGGGGATAATTGAGTTGATACAGTAATTAAATCAATTATCTCCTAAACAGAGGGGAGGGGTTGTGTACACTGTAAGGGAGTGTCTGCATGTAAGACTCTGTTTTTATTGGTTTGTTAATTCTGTGTCCTGTGCCCCACAAGGTCCACCTGGGCATCAACCTTGTGGGGAAAAACTGTATAAAAACTCAAGTTGTTCAATTAACCTTCAGACCTTCTTACCCTCAACTCGCAGCCTCGTCTCGTGTTGTAGGGAAATGCTATACCTGCTTTAATCACTAGCTCTTTTCAGAGCTTTAAGGAACTTGCTCCTCATAGCAATCTACTAGGATGTCGTATTGGTACTCCACAGCGCCCTTCCAGATTGGGGAAAAGGACATCTAGGAGGTAAATACCCCGACTACTCCAGGGGTGACCATCACAATACCCTTTTGGAGGTGCGTCAAATTAGTGAGAGTGTGTGTATGTCATTGTTTGTAAGTGTATATGAGAGTGTGCGTCTGTCAGCAAGTGTGTGGCCTTGACAGGAAGGGGTGGGGAAAACTTAAATTAGGAGGGGTGCCCAAACACCTTCCTCCCTATGGCAGCACAAATCCAAAATACAACACTGCCTGGCACACAAATAAATCTTTGAATGTGCAGTATTTCAAGCAAATACACTGCACATCCAGGCTTCAATCCACCATGACTACTTCAAATCACTGAAGTACTCATGGTGATTGGAGTAACCATTTAATAAATTAAAAACAAAACAAAAGCCTAAAAATAAACTCTTTCAGGTGTAGGCAAAGTCACTGTTTTCTCTAGAGTCCTGACACTGCATTGTTTGACATCATGCTTTCAAATTTATTCTCATCACCTCACTCGAATCTGCCAAAAATATCCAAGAGTCTGCTGTATTACATGACTTGATTCGATAGGGTTCAGTCACCAACCCTTGAAAACTTAATTATTTGTTGCTCATTCCTTTAAAATGTTTGACAGCATTGTAGTAAGCACTGCTTCTGGTCTTGGGATAGAAACTAAAAATTGCATAATAAAAAAAAAAAAAGAACTGTAAAAGGTAATTCAACTAAAATGGATTTGATTGACAGTACACCAATATCTGGCTAATAATCATATTTATTGGATTTAAATTAGATGCTGAACCTTAGCAAGTGCCTAAAGCAATTTATCAAAAGAGTTAGATTTATGCAGTTGGCAATAGTCACTTAGTAAAGCATATGCTGCCATCTAGTGATAGAACCATGCCTCCCAAAGGAGGCCAGATTTATTATAAAAACAAAAATGTTTCTACCTAAAGGATTAACAAAAGACATTAAGGGTTTAAAAACGCAAGACAGATATACATCAAAAGGAACAGGAAAACCATGCAGTTACATAACCCCCTCAAAAAACTGCAGTTCATTGTAGTGGCCATGGTGCTATAAGTGTATATACAAGATTTTATGTCAAACCATTACGGAGCAGTCTGACCTAAAGGAGGGCTCTTGGAACCCATACCACAACGCTTCTTCAACTTCAAAGACAATTCAGAAATTACAGTTCTGCATTATAAGTTCATAGCTATTAGACAGCAATGAGGCTCTGGTCTAAAGCACACTTACTTATAAAACAAATCATATTATAAAGCTTCTTGATAGAAGGAGATATCTGACTGCCATTTTGGGGTCAAGAAGGAATTTTTCCCTAGTTTGTTGCAAAATTGGAAGCGCTTTAGAATGGATTTTTTTTGCCTTCTTTTGGATCAACAGCAAAAACCTATGCGAGAAAGGCTGAACTTGAAGGACGCAAGTCTCCTTTCACACATGTAACTATTTATAAAGGGTAGTGCACCATAAAGTGTTTTTTGTGTAACTATTTTTTTCTGACCAATAACCACTACCCCTACCCCCCAAAAAAACAAAACATTTGTCTGGTTGCCATAATAGTCTGGAGTCTAAAATTGGGTCTCCGGTTTCATACCGTCTAGTTGGGTGCACAATATAACATCCTCTTAATATCCTGCATTATTTCTGAAAGGAAGTCCTTTGACCATGTGTTTAAACGACACAGACCACTTTCAGCACTTCCTTACTACCGATCAGGTTCTAAGAGGGTGACTGATAAAGGAACCAGATCATACTAGGGATCAGTAGGCGTTCAAGGACGTTGTGTGCCATTTGGAGAGATCTTCAATAAAATTAAGATATGTTGGCGTAGGTATGGGAGATATGGCAAATTAAGAGTATATGTGGCACTCAAATGTTTAATAAAAATATTACCTAGATCCCAACAACTAGAAGAAAGACATCAAACCCGGCTTCAAACAGTTTGATTTGGTGGGTACCTATTTAAAGGAACACTAACGGCAACAAAACAACTTTAGCTTACTGAAGCAGTTTTGTGTATAGATCATGCCCTGCAGTCTCACTGACACCAGCAGATATCCATTGCCAGCATGTGTGCTGATGACAGATACATTATATGCACATAATTCACATTAACACCACGAAAGTCTAGTTGCAGGCTGCTAACAATGCTGCTGGAGTTACACCTCCAGCAGCAAAAGTAATTACCTCTGTATGCACAGCGTTTCTTACTGAAGTGCTACACATACAGGCTCCAAGCACAATGACTATATCAAATCAGTAAAGCAGTCATTGTGCTTGGAGTAACCCTTTAATAAATTGAAAAATAATGATGATTTAGAATTTACTCACGGTCTTCAGTGGGGAGAACTTGAAGTGAGTAGATCCATTCGATTATTTCTGCCTTATTCACCACGTGCAAAGAGTCCAGCATATCAAGGCCAGAAAGTGCAAAAAATGCAATGGTCAATCTGAAAGTAAAATATACATGGATTTAGTGTTTCTGTCTCTGTACATTAAACTGTCCCAATATTATTGAGCATAATTATACATTTGTCCATTAGTGACTTCTGACTTTACACTCATAGCAGTATATACACACACACACACACTACTCCTGAAGTATTTCTAATAAACTGCTAACTTCCATTTTTTCCTGCATGTGGCACAATGAGAATTAATTTATATACTTTTCACAGCAAACAATATAAAGAATCTTTTAAAACTTTTAACATAATCAATACCTAACTTTTAGTTATTTGGTTGAGCTAAAGGTAGGGAAGTGAGAGTTACTCTTTAACCATCCTTACTTTAAGTGCTGCTATCTTCTTTCTTCAGTTCCAGGCCCTACATAATCCAAGAGCTATGAAAGCACAACTTTTATATCCATGGAGGATCCTGCAAAATCACAGGAGACTCCATAGACCTATCTTTGTAGCTGTTAGAAGCAGCCAGATTCTCACAGACATCGCATGTGATGGCTGGCTGAATTGACAAAAATTGATAACAGAAGATTTGACTTTATGTTTTGTCAATTTCAGGCTTTACCATAAGGCGAAGTAGTCCCTATGTATATCTTTTGATTATGTTGAAAGTTAAACAAATTGAAGGCGACAGAGCTGTTTTAATAATGTTCCCTCTCCTGCTCACCTTTGTTGATAGAGAGAAATTGGAAGACCTGCTAGTGAAGTAGAATGCTATCACTGCATGGTGCAGTAGCAAAAACAGTTTTCCCCACTCTCCTTGCACACTGCACGTGTTAGTGTCTGAATATATGTGTGTGTCTATACTGTAGGTGATCTAGTAGCGATTTATGTATTTCTGTGTGCAAGAGATTTCTAATAATGTGCGTGTAGCTAGTTAAATATTTGTGCATGACGGTGGTTAATGTCATGAGATTATGATTATGTATGTGTAAGAGACAATGACTTGCAGCAGAACTGTCCATTGTGGGGCATTGGCATTTTTTGGCAATGAGATACCATAGACATCCATTGCTTGTCACACAAGACAATGCCTATCACAACATCTGCTGTTGTGAGTGGAAGCTGATGGGAGAAGTTCCAACTTGAAGCTTAGCAAGAACCTTTTTGGCAAAATGTACTCCCGACATTTGTGAATAATTTATTTGATATTGATTGATTAAAAAAAAAAATTTAAGTGTGAAAAATCACTATTTATAGATATTCCCTTAGTGTGAAATATCACTAAATATAAACAAGTCCTTAATCCTAACCCTAATTTGAACCCCAACATTAACCCTAAATGTCCCATGTCCTAAGCTTAGTGAATGCACTAACTATAATGAAAGTGTAAAACTAGTTTTACTTACCTTCCAGGACCTTTCTGTGGAGGAGTGGCAGGAATGCTAACACGCATGTCCTGCACAGGATCCAGCTGACTTCCCTCACCGGAAGTGACGAGGGTATGGGATTTTCACGGGTAGGGAAATTTGATAGATCACAGGCACTAATCAGGAGGCGGCAAAAAATGCCACCCCAAATGCCCCACCTGTCATGGGGTGGCCACCTGGTGGACCCCCCGGCGGGCGCCTGTCTACCTGTCAGAGGCGGTGAGGGAGCCGTGTTCTCTCTGCTCTGCTCCCTCGCATGCCATTTGCTGATGCCGGGAGCCGGAATATGACGTCATATTCCGGCTCCCGCGGCATCAGCAAACGGCGCGTGAGGGAGCAGAGCGGAGCAATAATAGCTCCCTCGCTGCTTCTGATTAGTATGCATGTATGTGTGTATATATATGTCTGTATGTCTGTTAGTGTATGTGTGTGCATATATGTCTGTTAGTGTGTGTGTATATATATATATATATATATATATATTAGTGTATGTGTGTCTGTTCGTGTATGAATGTCTGTTAGTGTATTTACGTTTGTTAGCATATGTACATGTGTGTGTATGAGTGTATGTGCATCTGTTAGTGAATGCATGTGTATGTTTGTGAATGTCTGTCAGTGTATCTCTGTCAATGAATGAGTGTGTGTCAGATCAGTGACGTCTGTGTGTTTATCATTGAGTGTGTGTTACTGAATGTGTGTTTAAAGGGACACTATAGGCACCCAGACAACTTCAGCTCATTGAAGAGGTCTGGGTGCAGAGTCCCAGTCCCCTTAAACCTGCAAGTGTAATTATTTCAGTTTCTCAGAAACTGCAATAATTACCTTGAGGGGTAACTCCACCTCTAGTGGTTGTCTACTAGACAGCCACTAGAGGGACTTTAGGGTGGTTAGGTGACTAAAAGTCACCTAACTGATGCTGGACGTCCTCACGCTGTGCATGAGGACATCCAGCATCTGCTAAATACCCATAGGATTTTAACAACTTCAGTGTAGAGTGAGGGAGGGGGGCACTATAGGGAATTATAGTGCCAGGAAAACAGCTTTGTTTTCCTGTCACTATAGTATTCCTTTAACCCGTTAAGGACCAAACTTCTGGAATAAAAGGGAATCATGACATGTCACGTGTCCTTAAGGAGTTAAAAGGAGCAGAAAAAAGTTGAGTCTAAAGAGGAAGGGGTGGGTTCTTAATCAGGAAGAGGTGCGCCCTTGACAGGAAGGGTTGGTGAATTTAGATCAAGGGGGTGCCCAGGTTTAGTCATACCTAGGGCAGCACAAAATTAAAATACACCACTGTGTGAGTGTCTGAGTATGAGTATGCGAGTGTCTGTATGCACCATAATAATCCTTCATTACTGCAAAGTTTATTGTGCCAAAACTACTATACACTGAGTCACAGGTCTGAGTTTATAAATGCAGCGATTTGTAAATTAGTAGACTGTATAAAGTCTATCAACCTGGCAGCCTAACTTCAATGCCAAGGAAGCTCTCACTACCAGAAAACATAACCTGCAGCCTGTCACACAGGGAGTACAGCACTTCCTAACTCCCACAACTTTAAAGTGGACGAAAAGGATACTCAACTGATACATCTAGTGTACTCCAACAATAAGGATAATCAATGTATACATCCAGTGTACTCCAACAATAAGGATACTCAATGTATACATCCAGTGTACTCCAACAATAAGGATACTCAATGTATACATCCAGTGTACTCCAGCAATAAGGATACTCAATGTATACATCCAGTGTACTCCAGCAATAAGGATACTCAATGTATACATCCAGTGTACTCCAACAATAAGGATACTCAATGTATACATCCAGTGTACTCCAACAATAAGGATACTCAATGTATACATCCAGTGTACTCCAACAACAAGGATACTCAATGTATACATCCAGTGTACTCCAACAATAAGCATACTCAATGTATACATCCAGTGTACTCCAGCAATAAGGATACTCAATGTATACATCCAGTGTACTCCAGCAATAAGGATACTCAATGTATACATCCAGTGTACTCCAACAATAAGGATACTCAATGTATACATCCAGTGTACTCCAACAATAAGGATACTCAATGTATACATCCAGTGTACTCCAACAATAAGGATACTCAATGTATACATCCAGTGTACTCCAACAATAAGCATACTCAATGTATACATCCAGTGTACTCCAACAATAAGGATACTCAATGTATACATCCAGTGTACTCCAACAATAAGGATACTCAATGTATACATCCAGTGTACTCCAACAATTGTTAAATGTAAACTCCCAAACCTTACCTGTACCCAGCAATGTATTTACAGCACAGAGTGTACCATGGTCATGTGAATTCAGCACATTTTTAATAAAGAGCATGTGACATAACCTCCATCACTGTAATACTATACTAAATGTAGCAGAGACCGGCCAGGCTGGCATGCAGGGCTCCCATAGCACAACACACATTGTCTGGCTGGCACACACGCTGGGCATGGCCCTCAATGGGAGCCGGGTGTCTCAGTGACTGGCACACGGGGTGTCCATGTTCCCGGGTGTCTCAGTGACTGGCACACGGGGTGTCCATGTTCCCGGGGCCGGGTGTCTCAGTGACCGGCACACGGGGTGTCCATGTTCCCGGGGCCGGGTGTCACAGTGATTGGCACACGGGGTGTCCACGTTCCCGGGTGTCTCAGTGACCGGCACACGGGGTGTCCACGTTCCCGGGTGTCTCAGTGACCGGCACACGGGGTGTCCACGTTCCCGGGTGTCTCAGTGACCGGCACACGGGGTGTCCACGTTCCCGGGTGTCTCAGTGATTGGCACACGGGGTGTCCACGTTCCCGGGTGTCTCAGTGACTGGCACACGGGGTGTCCATGTTCCCGGGTGTCTCAGTGACTGGCACACGGGGTGTCCATGTTCCCGGGGGCCGGGTGTCACAGTGATTGGCACACGGGGTGTCCATGCTCCCGGGGCCGGGTGTCTCAGTGACTGGCACACGGGGTGTCCATGTTCCCGGGTGTCTCAGTGATTGGCACACGGGGTGTCCATGCTCCCCGGGCCGGGTGTCTCAGTGACTGGCACACGGGGTGTCCATGTTCCTGGGTGTCAGTGATTGGCACACGGGGTGTCCATGTTCCCGGGGCCGGGTGTCTCAGTGACTGGCACACGGGGTGTCCATGTTCCCGGGGCCGGGTGTCTCAGTGACTGGCACACGGGGTGTCCATGTTCCTGGGTGTCAGTGACTGGCACACGGGGTGTCCATGTTCCCGGGGGCCGGGTGTCTCAGTGACTGGCACACGGGGTGTCCATGTTCCTGGGTGTCAGTGACTGGCACACGGGGTGTCCATGTTCCCGGGGGCCGGGTGTCTCAGTGACTGGCACACGGGGTGTCCATGTTCCCAGGGGCCGGGCCGGACTCAGTACCTGCTGGTCTCCAGGGAGGCACACTGCTCCGGCAGGGCTTGCAAGCTGCGCTGGAAGTAACGCACATGGCGATCCGGGAGGAACAACAACCTCTCCTCGGGCAATCCATCCTCCTCCTCCGCCGCCATGTCCCCGCAGCTCAGGGCCTCCTCTATCACTGGGTTTAGCAACAGCACTGCTTCCGGGACAGGCGGAAGGCGATCTGCTGCCATGGTAACCGACCTGGAAGGATCTCTCTGCAGACCCCAGTGTTCTATCCGGCTGGGCTGCCATCACCAATATTACAGCTCTCAGTGACAGAGAGGAATAGGGGGCTGGGGGTGTAACTTTACTGCTCTCAGTGTCAGAGGGGAATAGGGGGCTGGGGGTGTAACTTTACTGCTCTCAGTGTCAGAGGGGAATAGGGGGCTGGGGGGGTAACTTTACTGCTCTCAGTGTCAGGGGGGAATAGGGGGCTGGGGGTGTAACTTTACTGCTCTCAGTGTCAGGGGGGAATAGGGGGCTGGGGGTGTAACTTTACTGCTCTCAGCACCTGGGGAGTAACTTTACTGCTCTCAGTGTCATAGGGGGCTGGGGGTGTAACTTTACTGCTCTCAGTGTCATAGAGGAATTGGGGGCTGGGGGGTGTAGCTTTACACTGAGTGTCCCCCAGCTGCAGCAATCATTAACACGGTTATTCACTAAAATGTCAACTCATGACAAGAGTCCTGGAAAACATGGTGGATCTGCTAACCTCGTTTAATGACTCCCATACATCTCATAACATGAACACATATAGCCAACCCTGCATGCAACTGGGAGCTAGTTCTGTATTAAACTGCAATACATTGATACAATACACAATGACTTCAGGGCTGTTATATACAGCAACCTGCACCTCTCTTATCTAATGCCAAATATAAAATTTCGTGCTTTATATAGAACTGAATGGCGCGTCAGACCTACGCTATATGGACAAAAGTATTGGGACATCTGACCATTACACAAACAGGGACTTTTATGACACTTCATTATAAATACATATACATTAATATGTAGTCGGACATAGATTCAAAGCATAATTGTCAAGATCTGGCCGAAGCAGATTAAATGTTTCCTAGACAAATGACATCTGTGTCATTTGACAGCAATGTTCCTGACATCATCTACACATGATTTTTCTCAAGCGAATTAAAGATAGTCAATGTAGGTTGCTAGGAAACAGACAGTCATGGTATACAGATAGTTTCATGGTCCTTAAGCACCACAACAGGAATAACAAACATTAACTCTGAACTATAATAATAGTGCAATAAAATTAGGAGGCAAATATTGTAAATTGATGGGTAAATGTAAGAAACTGTTGCAATCTCGCAAAGAACTACTATCACTCACCTCATATGTCTCGGTCAGGCCATGCAATCAGGGCGCAGAGAAAGTTCCTCAAACTATAGCATACACAGCCAATATTATTAAGATAGTTTATGCATATAATGAAAAGGAATATGAGAGTTGTTTTTAGTGCTTTGGGGGAAAAAATGGACAGTAATGCTTGGAGTTTGATGTGAGGCCTCTAGAGGAGATAGAATGAAAAGATTTCAGATAGGTGTGTACTACTGGGTGAAGGGGGTTAAAGTAAGAACGAGGGAGGAAGAAATAAACATTGTGTTATTTTATAATGGAAACCTTTGTCCAATAGCTTCTTTGACACCAAAAAAATAATAATCACATTTACTGTAAACACTAGAATGCAATAGAAACTGCATGTACAGAAAGTAGCATTGAAAAAAATCACCCATTCCCCATATATAATATATAATCCGTATATTTTGAAGGAGCACTACAGTTTAAGGAATGCAAAGCTGTATTCCTAACACTATAGTGTCCCTCTGCCAAAGCAGCCCCCCCTACACCCGGCCATGTAAAGGGTTAAAAAACAAAAAAATAACCTTTAAACACTTATCTGATTCCAGCACCAATGTCCCTCAGCGCTGTATCTGGCTCCTCTCGCGATCAGGAAACCTAATGCGCATGCAATAGGCTTTCCCAATAGGAAACCATTGAATCCATGACCACAACTTTTTTTTTTTATTACATTGAGCGGAAAATGGCTACACGCTGCTTTAGTAGACATGCCCCTACTTGCAGCATGGCATGTGTGATCTATGACTCCCTTATCAATGTAAGGGAGTCATATAGACCCCAATAGGCTTTTTGATGTTCTTGAAATTCAGCTGGCATTAAATCCAGTCAGAATTTAAAAACAAACAAACAAAAAAAAAAACAGTCGACAGAATAAAGTTAATAATTATCAACTGAAGGACCAGGCATATGCTGGCACATAAAAATATAAAATGGTGAGAGCACACAATAACAAATAAATATTATTGTTGCAGTGTAAGCATGCAGAAGCCAAACACAGAGATATTGGACACAAGTCTTCAGGAAGTAAGAGGCCTTTATTCACATTACCGATCGGGTCTCAGATGAACTCCTGTTCCAACATTCTGAGAGACATATACCTGTGGCTTGGGACGTTTGTTAACTGCATATCTCCTCCCATACAGTATAATCCCTCCTATATTCCTCAGACCAATCAGTGAGCAGAATATAGACTTGTACATCTAGTCAAACCACATGGCTCATCCAAGACAAAGGAAATAAGTGCAATTTCAGTTCCTGCATTCCTGCACATGCTCAGTACACTGATGACAGTATCCTAGCTACGTGTAGCTAACTAACTGACACAACATACACATATGCCACATGGAGATTTTGGCCTACTAAATTTTGACCATGCTGGGATCCCATCACATTCCCCCCTTTGATGCCTCTGATATAACATTATTCCAGATGCATCACCAATCACAGTTTTACCTACATCTCTCAAGTAGCCATCGAACCAGAGTAGACCTTGTAAGCATCTTAAAAACTCCTCCAACATTCTTCATCCTGAATATATTCTATTTGGGCTAGGAGATCATATCTTCCAGACAGCCATTACATGGGCAGCTGTCTTTCTCTCTATAATGCTACGTAGGGACCTTACCACTAGTGGAATTAGACAAGGCAGGAGGAGGCACAAAAAAAATATAATAAATTCTACTCCTACTAATGTCTTAATTCCTCCAAGCTGCTCATACCAACTTCCAAACCAACTACTTAGGTTATACCCATTCCAGACCTGAGTAGGTACATGCACAAATTTAACCATGTGGCTTGTAAGTTCAGCCACTGTCTGCCCTTCATCATCTACGTGCAGACAACAGTTACTTAGATTAAACTTTCCGCATACACCTCCTTCTACTGCTAGTAAGTAATCAAGGGCTAGCCTATTCTGGTATATGGCTGACGGTATCCTGGTATTTTGCTTACCTAGAAGATTAAGCGCTTGAGCTGTCTCATTAGTAATAATCTCAACCACTGCCTGTAGTCTAATAATGCGGTTGAGCATATATATCGGAGTTCTATATCCATAAGTGCCATCTTCTGCCCAAGTAGCAGGTCCATAATAATTAATAATACGTTGAGGGGGCCACTCATTATCTTCCCAGCTACCTATATTCAAGGATGCTCTCTCCCTTTTATGATTTACATCGTAAACCTTAACTCCCAAGGTCTCTCCTGTCTCAATTGGCAACAAGAAGAAGGATGGTTTGAGCATACCTAATACACATGCCCCTTCCCAATCTTGTGGTAACTCTGAATATGCTTTCTTACCACAGATCCAATATAAATTTGCTGGGGCTTTCCAATTGGATGTAGCAGATAAGTCAAACCATACCTCTTTTAAATTAGTGTAATTGGCAAACGGATTAGTAGGCTCTGAGACATTTGAAGCTGACCACCAAGTAGTATCTTTAGTATCGGCATTATAGGCCTTCTGTCCCAGACATGTTAACTCGCCAACAGGTGTGGTATACAATGGCCATTTCCTGGCTAAACATACATGACCTATAATATAGGTTTTTAACCGTCACTCTGATTTACCTCTAGTACTTACTTGATGATCAGACTGAGAAAGTGTTTGTTGTTCATCTGTCTCAGAACCAAGGTACCATACTTCCTTTGCCTCCCATGGCCACTGGTCTCCCATATTAGTACGTCCACATAAAAAGCAATTAGTTACATTAAAGGACCACTATAGTACCAGGAAAACATACTAGTTTTCCTGGCACTATAGTGCCCTGAGGGTGACCCCACCCTCAGGGTCCCCCTCCCGCCGGGCTCTAGGGTGAGGAAGGGGTTAAACTTACCTCCTTCTCCAGCGCCGGGTGGGGAGCTCTCCGCCTCCTCACCTCCTCCTCGGCTGAATGCGCATGTGCGGCAAGAGCCGCGCGCGCATTCAGACAGTCTCATAGGAAAGCATTCACAATGCTTTCCTATGGACGCTGGCATCTTCTCACTGTGAAAATCACAGTGAGAAGCATGGAAGGGCCTCTAGCGGCTGTCAATGAGACAGCCACTAGAGGCTGGATTAACCCTAATGTAAACATAGCAGTTTATCTGAAACTGCTATGTTTATAGAAAAGAGGGTTAACCGTAGCTGGACCTGGTCTCGGTGCCTATAGTGGTCCTTTAAGACTACCTGCAATACTCTCAATCAAATCAATAAATAGGTTCTTAACATTATGGGGAATTTTATCCTCAACACTCATCTCATAAAAGGAATGAAAAACCTGATGAGTTTGAGTTGCTATCGTCTCAGTTTCAAGTCCTACATATATTATGGTCCCTGGATCTATTCCTGTACTGTGTATTTGGAACCCAAATAGATTTCCAAACTTATCAATAAAATGTTGTGGATTAGAGATGGTCATATGGACAGAATTACATTCCATAGACTTACAGTGTGGTGTAATGGGCAACCTTTGGGTAATCATATCCTGATCCACTGTTTTTCCCCAGGTCGCCCACCCTACAGAAGACCAATATGGACAAAAGTTAGTCTCTATTTAGGCAATCAGGATCAGTAGATCTTTTACTAGGGCATAAATATCTATTGTCATTGAACCCATAAGTTCGTTCCCATTTAAGATTACCACATACATTCCAAAGTCTTCCACTACCCGAAATCGCCTTACATGCATCAAATAGTAGAATACCCGTGGAATGTATGGTGCTTATCACAGTCCTATTTATTAATGTC